AAAACTTTATGGAAACAATCAATACTAAGAACAGATGCGCATATTGCCCCCTTGTTTCGGTCAGACCCTTTAACTTAGAGTAATGGCCCTTGATTTGTTACACAGTATGCATATAGAGCAATAATCGTTTCTGTGCAATTTCTTTGAAAGTACTGGCTGGAATTCAATGAAACTTAATGGGAACCATCAATACTAAGAGGAGATGCACATATCATCGCCTTGTTCTGGTCAGACCCTTCAAGACGAATTATGGCCCTTGATTATTATGTAGTATGCATATTGAGCAATAATCATTTCTGCATTTTTTCTCTGCAACTACTGGCTGGAATTCAACAAAACTTTATGGGAACCATCAATACCAATAGATGTCTATGTCGCCTTATGCCGCTCAGACTCTTCAACACAGAGTTATGGCCCTTGATTAGTTATGCAGTATGCATATAGAGCAATAATCGTCTCCGTGCTACTTCTCTGCAACTACTTGCTGGAATTCAATGAAACTTTATTGCAACAATAAATATCAAGGGGAGACGCACATATCATTGCCTTGTTCCAGTCAGAGTCTTCAAGACAGAGTTAGGCACTTGATTAGTTTTCCAGTATGCATATAGAGCAATACTGCTATTTCTTTTCAAATCTGGATTGATTTCAACAAGACTTTATGATAATCATCAATACGAAAAGGAAAATTGCATGCCATGATAAATTCACATAAATAGAGCCTTATGTCTCCAGTTGTTGTGTAAGTAATAACCACTACTTGGCGGTGGATATAAATTCAACAACTTTGCTTGTTCAAATTATGGCCCAGGGGTCAAATTGGCCCTCCCTTTCAGATATTCAATGGAGCAGAACCATTTGATCAATTTTAGTAGAACCCAGGGAAATTTCATCAAATCTGACCCAATGGTTTTAGAGAAAATGAAAAAGCATGACGACAGGCACATAGACACATGATGGACAAATTGTGATCACAAAAAATAAGAAATCCTCTCCTCCAAAACAAGGGCTAGGCGGAAATATTTGGCATCAAATATTGTCTAGTGGGTGAATCTCTACAATACTTGTTTAAATTAATGCCCTGTGGTCAAATAAATTCCTTTCGTTAAAGAAGATTTTCTAAGTTTTTATTTCTTTGCCATGCCAGAGTTCTGCATGGAATTCAATTCTTTAAACAATTTTCAAAGGTGACCACCCAAAGAAAATATACATATAGGGAAAATTAATGACCCCCTAGGGCGTGTCCAATTTTGACCCCTGGGCTTTTATTTGAACAAACTTGGTAGACATCCACTAGAAGATGTTTCATGCTTAATATCTAAGCTTTAGCTGCTTGGATTTTTTAGAAGAAAATTTTTAAGTTTTGTCTTTCAGTTGCCATGGCAACCAGGATTTAGCATGAATTGGAATTCTTTGAACAATTTTTAAAGAGCTTCATGATAGGAACATTCTTGCTCAGTTTAAACAATATTGGTCCCTTGGTATAGGAGGAGAAAAAGTTACGGCGCCATTAGGAATGCACATTGTGATCCCAAAAGCTTAGAGGTGAGCTAAAAAAGCTGCACAACTAGCAATTGTATACAGTAACAAGAGCTGTCGGTAGGACAGCAACACTCCATTATTCTTAGTGCTTGATAGTAAAAGAGCCTTGATAATGTAAAATTTTCTGAGTTAATAACAAAAGGACAAATTTTTCTTTAAATCCATGTTACAGTTATAGGTCTTGGAGAGAGTCCTATTATGCTCTCAAAGAAGAGTATAAAATTTCAACTTGTTTCAATAGAATATGAAAATATCTGAGGTGGTATGCAAACCGAAATGTAAATTCTAAGTTGAAAAAGGGGCATGTAAATTAAAGTCGAAAAAGGGGCATAATTCTGTCAAAATGCTTAATACAGTAACCTCCTCCTGTCTACAGGTTGGGATCATGATGGTGAACAAGTGTGCAAAGTTTCAAAGCCATACGTCAATGGACTTTGAAAATATTTTTGAGGTATTACAAAAACTTGAACGTAAATTCTAAGTCGAAAAAGGGGCATAATTCTGTCAGAATGCTTGATACAGTTACCTCCTCCTGTCTACAGGTTAGGGTTATAATGGTGAACAAGTGTGCAAAGTTTCAAAGCCATATGTCAATGGACTTTGAAAATATTTGAGGTATTACAAAAACTTTAACACAAGTGGTTACGTCGACGCCAACTCCTACACTCGGGTGACTACAATAGTTCTACTTATTCTTATCGAATAGTCAAGCTAATAAAAAACAAAACTTGTAATTCCTGTTGTAATGTATGTATTCAGACAGATACAAATTTACTTAAGATGTTAACAAACTTGCAAATTTACATACAACTTTTTTATTGAAGAAAATCAGAACTAAAAAATATGAATTATAAAGAACACAGCACGGGCAAAAATAAATAAAAGAAGTAACAAAATATCAATACAGTACATATAAGTCTGTATTAATAAAATAAACTCATAGATCTAAGTAATAAGTCTGTCAATAGATTCTTACTTTAGCACCTACTCACGAAACAAGAGCACCGCATAGGCGGGGCAATTAACGCTCTAACTGCAAATTTGTTTTAAGTAATCGAAATTTAATGTAATCAAAAATAATTTTTAAATCATAGAAGAGACCCATTCATTACAAATGTCTGGAACATGTTTTATTTCAATTATCAATATAATAGTGAGATCTATATTGATATATGTCAAAGAACCATGCTCTTGTCACATGAATACTGAAAGATACTTATATATGCCACACAGTATGTATTCTATAAGGACTGAAAACAACAATAATATTCGTTTTTAAATGATATACATTCTAAGATAGGTACAAATAATATTATAACAAAAAATCAAAACACACAAAATATTACGCATAAAATGCTGTCTGCAAATAATTTTCTTTTTTTATTACCTCCCTTTTCATTAATAACATCAATACCCACACAGACATTTACCTTATGTTCATGATTAGTATAAAAGTGATAATTCTACTTTCAACCCATATATATAACTGAATATATTAAAATTGTAATCAGAAATATTTTTTTTCATTGGCATAAGCGTGTTTGTATGAGCTTTAGCACACTTATGCCATATTCCAGATCATTCTGAACAGGTATCTGAATAATAAATGATTAAATCTGTAAGTGCATTTTATTCATTATGAAAGAATTATTCTGGAATACAGCATACGGTAAGTGTGTTCTAGCTCATACATAAGCCAATCGAAAACAACAACAAATGTATATGTTACAATTTTAATATGTTGAGTGCATTGAATAAAAAAGAACCCAGGTATTTAAAAAACACATATATTTTTGTTAGGGAGGGCTTATGTCCGCCCTGCCATCTACATGGAAGGGCTTTTGTTCCCCTTGTTATTTTCATGAGGGCTTTTGTCCACCCTGTCATTTTCACATGAGGGCTTTTGTCTGCCCTGTCATTTTCATGTGGGGGCTTTTGTCCGACTTGTCATTTTTGGAAGGGAGGTTTTTGTCTATTTCCCATATTTGTACACCTATATGAATGGTGTGAAATATCTTTTTTTTTAAATGGAACAATCAGTAAAACAAACAAGCAAAAACTCATGTTTCTCATTTTGTAAGTAATTATCTGTTTTTTTTTTGTTTTTTTTACATAAATATTCAATGCCTAATAACCTGGAATACAAACATGTAATATTTATGACTTAACTGGAAGCAAAACTAAAGAAGGCAATTCAGATACAGAAACTGGTAAATTTCTGTTCCTAGATTAAAACAAGATTGCATTTGAGAAAAATGCTATGCCACCACATTAATACAACACTAAATAGTAGTGTAGGAAAAGATTTTTTTTTGTTTCTATACAATTGAAGATTGTCATAATGCATAGATCCCTGACCTATCTAAATCTTATTATCAAATTAGTGATTAAATCTATTGTTAATCAAATAAAAGATCAGAGCAGGAATATATCAATGCACTTGAGTCTAGTGAATTTGGTGGTGAAGGTCATATTTCACACAGCCAAATTTCATGACTACATCAAAGGACAACACAGTAAGACACTTTGTCAAAATCTAGGTAAGCTGATATCAAAGTCCACTTTACATCTTAATCTGTGCACATGGTTCAAATTTCATAGCTTTAGATCAAAGCACAAGAAAGTAGGTCACATTATCAAAATCTAGGTCACCTGATATCAAAGTTCAATTTTACAACTAAAACTGTGCACATGGTCAAAATTTCATTGCTGTACATCAAAGGACAAGAAAGTAGGTCACTGTCCCCTTGGTCAAGGCAAAATTTTGACCCAAAAACCAAGGGTTTAATTCAGAACAATCTTGATACAGGTCCACCAAACAACATTTCAAGTCAAATATCTAAGCTGAAGCTTTCTCCCATTCAGAAAACATTTGTTTTATTTTCTGTTTTTACTATGTGTACATAATGAGAATCATGCCCCTGGACAGGGCCAGTTTTGACACCAGGGGAAAAATTTGAATAACTTTGGTAGAGGACCTATAGATGATATTATATAGCAAACATGAAAGCTCTATGCCTTGTACCTTCAGACAAAAATATTTTTTATTTTTTTACTAGATATACATAATGTAAATCAATGACCCCCGGGGCAGAACCAATTTTGACCCCAGGGCTAAAATTTGAACAATCTTGGTAGAGGTTCACTTCGCAAAGTCTCATGCCATATATTTCAACTCTAGCCTTTGTCAATTCAGAGAAGAAGATTTTCAAGTTTTTACTTTATACATATAAGGAAATCTAGCGCCTCTGGGGCAGGGCAATTTCAACACTAGGGGCATAATTAAAACAACTTTAGTAGAGGACCCAAAGATGATATTATATACCAAATATCAAAGCTTTAAGCCTTGTACCTTCAGATAAGAAGATTTTTTAATTTTTACTCTATGTTCATAGTGAAAATCAATGACCCCTAGGGGTGGGGCCAATTTTGACCCCAGGGTTATAATTTGTAGCTTCACTACACTATGTTTCATGCAAAATATCTTACCTCTAGCATTTGTCAATTACTAGAAGATTTTTTTTAAAGTTTTTACGGTAAGTTTTTACTATATACATGTAAGGATAACCAATGACCCCCGGGGCGGGGTTGATTTTGACCCCAGGGCTATAATTTGAACAATCTGGGTAGAGGTCTACCAGACAATGCCTTCTGCAAAATATCTAAGCTCTAGGCCTTTTGGGTCCTTATAAGAAGGTATTTTAAGTTTTAACAATATTTACATATAGTGAAAATCAATGACCCCTGGGGCCGGGCCAATTTTGACCCCAGGGCTATAATTTGAACAATCTTGGTAAGGGTCTACCAGACAATGCCTTATGCAAAATATCTAAGCTCTAGCCCTTTTGGTTCTTTTCAAGAAGGTATTTTTAGTTTTTACTATATGTACATACAGTGAAAATCAATGACCCCCGGGGCGGGGCCCATTTTGACCCCAGGGCTATAATTTGAACAATCTGGGTAGAGGTCTACCAGACAATGCCTTATGCAAAATATCTAAGCTCTAGGCCTTTTGGGTCTTTACAAGAAGGTATTTTTAGTTTTTACTATATGTACATATAGTGAAAATCAATGACCCTTGGGGCGGGGCCGATTTTGACCCCAGGGCTATAATTTGAACAATCTTGGTAGAGGTCTACCAGACAATGCCTTATGCAAAATATCTAAGCTCTAGGCCTTCTGGGTCTTTACAAGAAGATTTTTTAAATTTATTCTTATAATTCCTTTTGGTTGCCATGGCAACCAGATTTCTGCATGGAATGAAATTCTTTGAACAACTTTGGAAGCCCTTCACCCAAGGATCAATCCTGCCAAGTTTGGTTTAAATTGGACTAGTGGTTTTTCACAAGAAGATTTTTTAAGTTCACTATATAATCTATATAACACACACACACACACACACACACACAAACAAACACACACACAGGTGAATCGCTATATGCCACCGCATCGCAGATGCTGCGGTGGCATAATAAGCTAGCTTTTTTTCCCACAATATTAAGTGCCCCCCAAATATAGCAAAAATCAAAACCTGATTTTCCGTATGACTTAATATGTCAAACAATTGAATTTGAAATGGCTAAAATAATGTCTACTCAGCATCAAATAACAATTGTATTGTCTAGTATGTGAATCAACTACAAAACACTCTATGACTTTTGTTGATCATCTAGCATAATACTGAAAGATTAATCACAAATTCTTACACATTCAAAACCATATCATAGCACAACTATAAACTGTTTAAAAATAACACAAAACTTATTCTGATTTTTGTGGCTGTTTTTAAACAAATAATAAAATAGGAATGTATTCAATGTAAGTTGTTAATGATAAAGTAAAACTAAGTCATTTCTTAGGTGTTGTTTATCATCATCTCCATGCTTTCTCCATCTTCTTTATTTTTGTTGTATTTGCAGGTATAGATTTTTGCTTACTATTTCCAGTACTTGATGCTGCTTTCTTGCTACCTAAATATCAAAGAAAATCAGGTCTAATTTTAAGAAAAATATTCTTTACAAAAATAACAAGATTGCATTTGTGAAAAAATTGCTATGCCACCGCATTAATACAACAATAAATTGAAGGAACAGAAGTAAATTTTGTTTTGTTTGCCATAATGCAGTAGTGTCTAGTGAATTTAGGATTTATGCATGTATTGAACAACTTTGTAAGCCGTTCACCCGACGAACAATCCTGGCAAGTTTGGTTGAAATCTGACTTGTAGTGTATGAAGATTTTGTTAGTTCACAATATAATATATATAACACACAGACACACAATCACTATACAAAGTTTCCTGCCATTACAGATTTAGGGATATCAAAACTAAAAATCTGAAACCTAATGAAGGTTAACATAGAAATATTAAAGTAAATTATGATTGTATCTCATAATAGGCCTAGATTGAATTAATGTCCTCATGTAGAACAATAACAAATGGTCATTTATGTCATTTGTAGAAACAGGTAATATAGTAACTATAGGAATACTATATTGTATTCAGGAATAAATTAAAGCTCCCTTACATTAAAGTAAGCATACCTGTTTTCTTGGCTTTACTGCCTGTATCACTAGACTTTCTCTTCTCTAATGTAGACCTTGGTCTTTCCTTCATTTCTCTGAAACACAACATTAATGTGCGAACAAATTATTTACACTCCTAACTTTTATTCTACTTCATTCATTCTAGACTATAATACATGTACATTCATTCATCTATTTTTTCTTTTCTTTTTTTTTTCTACCGGTACTAATTTCACTATAAACCAAAGTAAATGTAATTAATAGGTATTTTAATGACAATTTTTTTTACAAGTATGCAATTCTATTCCAAGATATTTTTTTCTTTCATTTCTTTAAAAGATGAATTTAATATAAGAAATCAATATTATGAAAAGTTCAAAACAATGTAACAAAAATGTTCATTTCAGTCTAATAAAATGAATAATTTCAATCTCTAAGAAATATGTAATTATTTCTAAAATAAAGTTTAATTCATATAACATACCTGACAGTGACCTGATGGTCCCCTGTGATTGGTGAAATCTGACCTTGTATTGGTCGTAAAGCCCTGACAAATAAAGAATGGTAGTGTCTGCGTAAAGGACCACTAAGAGTAAAAAAAGTGTGTATACAGAACTTTTGTTGCCTATTATAGTAAAAAACCTCATTAAGACCACCCAAAAATTAAGACCACCTCACTATTAAGACTAATTTATAAAAAAAACATTGGTTGACTTAATAGAGGATTGTTACTGTATACTTAAATCCATAATGTCATCATTTTCTTTAACATTATTATTGACAAACATGTTATATAAATGAAATACAATTAAATGCAACATTTTTGCATTTCCCTAACAAAACTAAGACAGAGTTTACGTATTCAACTATCAAGTACTTTAGTTGATTGAAATAAGAGATATACGTTTTTTAATACAAAATTATTCACTTATATTTAAAGCAAATTTTCAATTCACAAAAAGTAATAAAAGCACTGAACTGATATTTTCTTTGACATTTTAACTATTTAGCTAAAATCTCAAGTGAATGATAAAGTTGTATGCACTAGTGTTTTGCTGGCATCAACCCCAACATTGCGAGTAGAAAATACCAACAACTAGTCCTGATAATCAAGAGCTGCCAGTAGGACAGCATGCTTTACTATTGTAAGTGCTTGACAATAAAACAAGAGCCTAGATAATTAATAAATTAAACGAGACTTACCTGGAAGTTGAAGTTCAATTATTATTCTACTGCTACTGGACCACAGGGTTTAATGAGATGAACATATGATCTTATCAGATGACCAAGCAGACTTTCAGAGCATACATAATTATGCAAAATGCGACAATGGCTTATACATATGGGAGGGGTAATTGGGTGGGCATTAAACCCTGTGGTCCAGTAGCAGTAGAATAATAATTGAACTTCAACTTCCAGGTAAGTCTCGTTTAATTTATTAATTCTACTGCACTGGACCACCTAGGGTTAATGAGATTTTAGAGACCATGCTCGCATTTTGATAAGTCGTTAAAACTTCATAACCAAGTACAATGATTACGCATTCAATCTACGACTATTAACTTTTCAAAACTGAAAATGTAATGTACAAAATAAAGTATGCAATTGCCATATACATAAAATGCTGTAAAAGTAACAATCATTATAAAAGAATACTATTCCCTATTTCTACTGTGCGGAAATTAAAGGTCATTATAGGCTTGACCCCTGCTGCAATGTTACATTGCAAAATTGATACATTGTATCGTATATTGTAAACAGAAAATTGCAAACAAGTTTGACACACATATACGTGTAGCACAAAATTCTTTCACATGTAGTGATATTCGAAGTTTTCTATGGTTTTAAAGCAACACATTTATGTTTTTAATTATAATTTCTTTAGGCTCGATTTCTGATATCTTGCAAAATCAGTGTTTTGAAATTACTGATCTGCGGTTAAAGGGCCATTAAGCCTAAACCTGCCATTATTCGTTTATATTATTTACATTTTTTTTTTTCCATGCATGTTTTCTTCAATAAACACATGTATATTATTTTCCAAATCAGCTCTGTATTGCAGTTACAGTACATGTTTCTATGGTTCACGTTTTCGATTCCACTCGATACAGGATAGGATATAATGAAACATACAAATGAATTTGTTCATTTTTCCTGAATTATTAATATTATTATCATTTTTGTTTGGAATCAATCAATCAATTAATTAGTTAATTAAGTCATCAACTGATTTATTTCAAAAACGATAATGAAAACTACCAAAACAAATGGCTGAATCTCTTATCACCACTTACTTATTCAGTTGTTTGAAAACAAAACCCCAAACAAGTAATATTCTATGATCATGCCATTTGGTAGAATAATCTGCTTAGTGTTTTCCTTTCCCCCGGGCAATGACGAGTAAGGTACCACATCTACATATAATGATATATTATTAATTTACCTGCCATTTCTTTTTCAAATTTTATAACATTTCTAGTTGACTAATTAACATGCAGTCTACAAATATAAATGCGTTCATCAACCGTAGAAATGTTTCATAGACTAAACTGCAGTTTTCTTGATATAATTAATATTTTTATTGAAACTAGTTGTTTCAATTATTTAAATCAAAATTTTAATGACACTTTGACAGCCGTAGCACAATCAGGATTTTGTTTGCCTATTGTTGTGATAGGTCCGACACAAATCCCTCTCTGAGTGATTTATAGTGCCATGGATCATAACACAGTGAAGGTTAATTAGCAACCCCTCCTTGCAAACAAACAAATCAAATTAAGACATATGTTTGACCTACAAACCAGGTACAGCTATTAATACCTGCTGTTTTCCCAGGAATAAGTCCGATGATAAACCCTAACAAAAACAATTCACTGAGAGGGTCCAGTGAGAGATTTATCTGAAGATGTAGTACATGTATACAATAAATCCCAAATTATCAACCTTATCTTAACCATCTAAAATACTGCACATTACAACTTTGTATAAACTATCATTATTGTAATGAATGGTAAAACATTGGTTTCATAGGTTTGTCCAACAATGAAAGACAAGGCAAATGCAAATGATTTTTTTTTCCCCATCTTAATAGTTTGTTTTATTATATTCATTAATTCATTTTATTTCTTTTCTATGTTTTACTGTAGTTAGCTTGAGCAAAAATTTCAATGCATACAAAGTATATCAAACATGTATTCAATTATGCATTTAGCTATGTCTATATACACCTTTCAGTCGAAGAAAATTCTGGATAGAAAAATATTTTAGTGATTAAATGTTTATTTTCTTCACTAAAACTTTTCATATCTTATTTTATGTTCTTCCATTTCGAATGACATGTCATTTTCTTAAAAATAAAAGCAAGTTCTTTACAATCGACATTGTCAGTGTACTTTACTTGAGATATACAGGTAAAGAGTTATTCAATATAAATTTCATTATTGAACCATCTCGAGCAAGTACCAATATTGAAAGTTATCAACTTACAATGTTCAGGGTATTTCGAAGTGTTTCTAGAGTATTGTAAAAACAATGCATACTCACATTCTGTTAGCTTTCTTGTATATGTACTCATGGTTGCCCCTGAGATTCTTACCTCACACTATATACAACCAATGTTATTTAATATGTGTTTACTTTCTGTAAGGAAAGTAACAATTCCTTCATAAGATCAGCTCCAAATGGTGCGTTTTCCCAAGAGCAAATTTGGAGTCACAGTTTTTGACACTTCTATGCAAAACACTTTCTCCAGCATATTTGATCTTCGTATATAAAAAATTTGGGAGTATTCCGGTTTTGACAAGATATGCAAAATTTGCTTCAACATATTCCTTCTCGTATGACAAATTTGGAGTACTCGCGGGTTTTGACATTTCTATGCAAAACATGCTCCAACATATTCCATCTTATATAACAAATTTGGAGAAACTCAGGTTTGGATATTTATTGCAAAACTAGCTCCAGCATATTCGCTTTTATATAGATAACTAATTTGTAGTACACGGTTTTGTCATTTTATGCAAAACTAGCTCCAGCATATTCCCTCTTATATAACAAATTTGGAGTACACAGTTCTTGACATTTTTATGCAAAACTAGGTCCAGCATATACCTTCTTATATACCAAATTTGAAGTACACTGTTCTTGATATTACTATGCAAAACTAGCTCCAGCATATTCCATCTTATATAACAAATTTGGAGTACACAGTTCTTGGCATTTTTATGCAAAACTAGCTCCAGCATATTCCATCTTATATAACAAATTTGGAGTACACTGTTCTTGACATTACTATGCAAAACTAGCTCCAGCATATTCCATCTTATATAACAAATTTGGAGTACACAGTTCTTAACATTTCTATGCAAAACTAGCTCCAGCATATTCCCTCTTATATAACAAATTTGGAGTACCCAGTTCTTGACATTTCTATGCAAAATTAGCTCCAGCATATTCCATTTTATATAAAAAATTTGGAGTACACAGTTCTTGCAATTTCTATGCAAAACTAGCTCCAGCATATTCCATCTTATATAACAAATTTGGAGTACACAGTTCTTGACATTTCTATGCAAAACTAGCTCCAGCATATTCCCTCTTATATAACAAATTTGGAGTACACAGTTCTTGACATTTTTATGCAAAACTAGCTCCAGCATATTCCCTCTTATATAACAAATTTGGAGTACACAGTTCTTGATATTACTATGCAAAACTAGCTCCAGCATATTCCATCATATATAACAAATGTGGAGTACAAAGTTCTTGACATTTCTATGCAAAACTTACTCCAGCATATTCCCTGTTATGTAACAAATTTGGAGTATACAGTTCTTGACATTTCTAGGCAAAACTTACTCCAGAATATTCCTCTAATATAAAACCATTTTTGTGCAAATAAAATCTCTACAATACGCCCAAAACAGCAAAAATGAAAATGTTGCAGGCTTGGTTTGAATGAGCCTGTTCAAGGATGATACTGTAAAATGTAACTTACTGTTTTTCCGCCCAAAGCATGTTAAAGATATACTATACTCATCTCAGAGTAAAATATTTTTATCCCAGAAATTATTTGAAATCTATGTATTTCTTTCTAAATATGTCTTATTTGAATAAAAGAATGTACAAACTGTGTTTGGGAAGCTGCATATTTTTTTTTTTTTTTTTTTTTTTTTTTTTTGAAACTATGCATTCTTATTGTGCCTCTAAATTGTGTAGAGTTTAAGACATAAGATATCTTCTTAGTGTGTAGTCAAAACATGTTTATTTTATATTAAAAAAGAGACTGTGTAGCAATTATCAATATTTAAAAATACAATGAATTTGAGCATATTATATCTTTAATTCAAATAATTTTTATTTTAACTTATCATACAGTTACCCAACTAAACATAGAATTATATTTTGTGAGCAAGAGCTGATATTTTCTTATATCAAGTAAGATTTAAAACAGTAAGATACTGCAGATCTTTTTAACCAATAGAATAAGAGTCTTATAAATTATAAGCTGTGATATGTGCATTTCGTTGGCCTAAGAAGACATGACTTTGGTATGTTCGTGGCTCAAGAAATTAAATTGTTAAATAATATAATATTAATTTTATAACTTCAAGTTAAAGCAATATTGTCTTTGTTGTTGTAGTAGTAGTTGTAGCATAAAAACTTGGAAGGTCAATCATCTGGCCAAGGCTTCATACTGTTGTCCATCATTCCATGATGATGAAACAGATTTTCCTAATCTGTTGCAGAGTTAATATTGGACCTACTGTCCGCAAACTCTAGACATTCCAAATTTTGTTGCAGAGTTATATTGGACCTACTGTCCGCAAACTCTGGGGTCGTTGCAGTACGCCTCAGTACCTATTGTACTGGTTATATAGCGACTGTTGGGCTTCTTGAAAAGTGGAGTTCCCTACTGGAACTGAACACTTTACCCATTCTTGTAGCAATCCATGTGGAAAATATAAATGGATAATCAAATCAAAAACAGAAGTCAATTGTTATATCCAGAATATTGTCACTTTAAATTAAATTATGAACAAATAAATCCGGTATTTAATCCATTTTACAAAAGTTATTAAGTAATTGTATTAATCCATTTAACAAGAATAATTGAATAAATCTTAATTCTAGTAATAACACATAAACACATAAATTAAGAGAAATTAACTGCGGCCACTCTGATAGGATACTTTTAGCGTTCTGCTTGGTCATCTGATAAGATCATATGTTCATCTCATTAACCCTAGGTGGTCCAGTGCAGTAGAATGTAGAAATTTCAATGTTCAAAAAGGGCCATTCTTCTGTCACAATCTATGTAAGAGTTATAGGCCTTGGACAGTGCTCTAAAATAATTGTGTGAAATTTCCTTCAGTAATTTCGGAGATTACAACATACAAAACTTAAGTGTGACAGCAATGCCATCTTCGACACCAATGCTTTTGGTGGGGACAACAGCTGTTTCTACTCGTTGAAATGTCGAGCTTAAAACTGGATAACCAAGTATATTGGTATATGAAATTTCTAGACAGTAATAAGATTCAGTGTTGCAGTAAGGATATGAAACCTTCTATATACCTGACATCAGTTGAAAGGTGTGGACTACTAGTTGTGGGCGGGGCTGACTTGGATCGAAACTCAACACTTCCAAAAATAGATTCTTCTGCCAATCTTTGCTCTGGTCAAGGCAGATAATTATATAAGTTCAAATGTACTAATAACATTAAGGTGCAAAACATAAAGATATTTCAAATTTTTACTTGTAAAAATCCAGAGCACTTCAAAAACTTATTTCAAAATCTGTAAAATAGTCCTTGCATAAGTCAAGAATTTACATTGTATAAAAAAAGGTTGAGTAGAAACTAGAAGGGGTTTTTGTCGCTAAAGGATGGAACAGCAGCATGTAAATCCCCCCAGCAGTTTGACCTGTGATTTTTTTTCTATTTTTAACTCTTGTGGCCATTTAGTGCAGTGAAGCAGAAGGTGCAGGCAATATGCACAACAAGGGTTGGTACTGATCGCTCCTGTGGAATTTCGCCAATGTAAATTCTTGACTTATGCAAAGGACTATTTTACAGATTTTGAAATAAGTTTTTGAAGTGCTCTGGATTTTTACAAGTAAACACAAAAAGGATACTGAGCCAGCAGTTAGACCTGTGAAAACCTTGACAAGATTTTTTAGTTATTTAAACTCATGTGACAATTTTGTGCCAACTTGTGACAAGTAGGGTTGATACTGATCACTCCTGTAAAGTTTCAGCTAATTTCCCACAGCAGTTTGACCAGTGAGAGCCAGACAAAGATTTTCTATTTTAAGCTTTGGTAGCCATTTAGTGCAGTGAAGTGGAACATGCTGGCAATATGCACAACTAGGGCTGGTGCTGATCACTCCTGCGAATCCATTTAATCCACCAGCAGTTTGACATGTGAAGGCCGGACAAGGTTTTTATATTTTTAGCTCTGGCGGCCATCTACATGGAAGGAATTATTTCAAGAAGCATAATAATGATTACCATAACATAATGAATAATATTTGAACAAGATATACACAAAAAGGATACTGAGCTTTCTTCTTTCTCTCCATAGCTTTCAGTGTTGCCTGGCTTAGCTTAGGTTGAGATTTAAACACACTTTCGGAACTATATCTCTGCTGTAAAGTAATGAAAAATTCATAAGAAGACAACTACAAGTTCAATTACAAAGTACATAATTCATCTGATAAATGTATGTGAAGTTACAACTAACCACTGACTATAACATTATTGCACAAATGTATGTGAAGTTACAACTAACCACTGACTATAACATTATTGCATAAATGTATGTGAAGTTACAACTAACCACTGACTATAACATTATTGCACAAGTGTATGTAAAGTTACTACTAACCACTGACTATAATATTATTGCACAAGTGTATGTGAAGTTACAACTAACCACTGACTATAACATTATTGCACAAGTGTATGTGAAGTTACAACTAACCACTGACTATAACATTATTGCACAAGTGTATGTGAAGTTACAACTAACCACTGACTATAACATTATTGCACAAGTGTATGTGAAGTTACAACTAACCCGAGGGCTATAGCCCGAGGGCATTATTCATTTCAGGGCCCATTATCACCTTCTGGCACAACTATGACGGGTATTTATGTCTTTAATACACTTGGTAGATCTAATAGTAGCATTTTTCTAAAACAAATACTTTGATATTTCTTTCGTTGAAATTCCTGTCTGTACTTCTACTGTACAGTTATTTCTACAGAGTTGTTTACTTTTTATGTGTACAAAGTACACTAGAATCTAGAAGCAAGTATTATTTCCATTTTTTTTCGGAATGAATTTATCGTATTAGATCTATTTATTTAAATTTCAATAGTTAAAAAACTGTGTCTGTACGAAATTCGCTTAAGCTCTCATAATAATATCAAGCGATTCGTGCTAAAAATCTACTTTCACTTTTACAGTTAACTGTTTGATGACGTAAAATCTGACGTCATTTCAGTTTGTGCACATGTATTAGTTCTGCGGGCTGATAACTAGTTCTCGGCCCCGGGCCGCAAACGCATAATAGGTCATGTGACACTCATAATCAGTTGAAATCATGGACAATTTTGTTACTATATATAGTAACAAGTGTATTAATACAACTTACAGACTCCTTCATTCTTCTCTCCTCCTCTAGTAGTCTGGCAGCAGAAATAATTGATATTCTTTCTGATACAGGTATAACAAAAAATATCTCATGGATGTCCAGTAAAGAGGCCTGCAGCTGTAAATACATAAAATAAAGTTAATAAGATAAAAGAGATTATTGGTGGGTTTCATGTAACAAGATAATAAACAAATTGGTGGGTTGTATGTAACAACAAGAACTGTTGTTGAAAACAGACAAATGCCCCCCAAGCAGGGCCAAGTAAAGGAACCATGACTTTTCACTTGCATCAAAAGCATGGTTACTATAAAAACAGTGTAACATAAACAATTACTTTCTCATATTCTCATAGAGCCCAATTATTTCAAAATGCATCCAAAGCAAAAATATGATCAGACACAACTAGAGCTATCACTAAACGTGATTAATACCCCTACCAGTAACCTTGACTTTTTAAAATAAATTGTCTGAAGAAAAATTTGAACTCAACCTATAGTTTATGAAGTTTCAACTGTGAACAAAAAATTATTTCAATTAACTGCAATCCCAACCAGGCTCTTCATATAAGCTTACTTTATACTAAATTCAATTATAATATCTCATTTCTACCTCTAGTTATTGTCCAGAACCATTTTTCTATTTTAAGTAACAGTTACCCTTGACCCCAGGAAGGTCTAATGCAATCCCAACCGGGGTTTCCACATAAGATTGCTAAATACCAAGTTTGATTACAATCTCTCATTCCTAACTTAGTAATTCTCCGGAAACCATTTTTCTATTTTTACTAACAGTGTGACCTTGACCCAAGGGGATAGGTCTTCTTATAAGCTTGCTATATAACAAATTTGATTGTGACCTTGACAAGCTGACTCCAATAAAAACAAGAACTGTCGGAGGACAGTATTGGCTCGACTATTCAAAATGTTGTCACAAGAGTGTTTATTGAGTATAATAATGCTAGTTACCTATGAATACATAAAATTGACTGAAAAGGTACACAGGCATGTTATAAAGATGTTTTATCAAGTAAATCACTGCTTTATTATTATGAATGCATAAAAATGTCCCCAAAAAGGCACAAACTCTTCAGTTGTTATGACAAGCAAAATTTTACTATAAATTTTTAAGTTGAAAAAGGGGAGAAAAATCAGCCTAAATGCAAGATAGAATTATGGATCTTGGTCAGTGACCTACAATTATGATTCTAAATGCATATGTGAAGTTTTAAATAAATATCTTTAATAGTTATTGAGATATGTAATACTTGCATGTAAACATTAACCAATAGACTAAGTAGAAAAGGGGAGATGAATCAGCCTAAATGCGAGTAGAGTTATGGAACTTGGTCAGTGACATAGAACTTTGACTCTCCAATTATGACCCTAAGCACATGTGTAAGGTTAGTAAATATCTTTGAAGAACTTTAACCTTTAACCAAAATTTCTTAGAGTTTCAAAGGGGCAAATAATTCTGCAAATATTGCAGTCAGATATATGCAATTTTGCAAACTGATGTACATTGTTACTATAAAAAGTATTGTTAATTTCAATTGAATATCTCAAGCAATAATTGAGATATTTGAATTTACAAAAACTTTAACCAAATTTCTAAGTTATAAAGGGGCATAATTCTGTAAATATTATAGGCAGAGTTATTCAACTTGTCAATATGATGAGCATTGTTACTATAAATAAGTATTGTAAGTTTCAATAGAATATCTCAAGCAATAATTGAGATATTTGAATTTACAAAAACTTTAACCAAAATTTCAAAGTTAAAAAGGGGCATAATTCTGTAAATATTGTAGGCAGAGTTATCAAACTTGTCAATCTGATGTATATTGTTACTATAAATAAGTATTGTAAGTTTCAATTGAATATCTCAAGCAATAATTGAAATATTTGAATTTACAAAAAACTTTAACCAAAATTTCTAAGTTAAAAAGGGGCATAATTCTGTCAATATTGTACGCAGAGTTATCCAACTTGTCAATCTGATGTATATTGTTACTATAAATAAGTATTGTAAGTTTCAATTGAATATCTCAAGCAATAATTGAGATATTTGAATTTACAAAAAACTTTAACCAACGCAGACGCGGACGCCGACGCCGGGGCGACTACAATAGCTCTCATATTCTTCGAATAGTCAGGCTAAAAAACCTAAACTTCGTTTGAGGGGGTATAATTAATTAGTATATCCATTTCCTTATATCAATAAAAACATGATAATTTCCACCATTGTATCAGGTGATGACATAGGAATAACACTACAGTGCCAATCATGTATGTCTCATCATTTCAAAACATTATAAATGACAGTTTTATGCTCAGTGTTATAAATAGCATGTTTTTAAAAGTCTTTGTTGTAAATGAAGGTAAGGCAAAGAAATTACATTTTCTTTGGTAATTAAGTCTTGTAAATGGATACAATTTATCTCTAATGCTGCCAATAAACACAAATAAATATAATAGGGGCATAACTCTGCCAAAAATCATTGAACCATGACCAAATTTGAACTTGACCTGTGCATTCGTTTGATGTATCTATATGTCAAATTTGAGTTGACAACAACTGTTGGGGAGATAATGAACGGAACTGAAAATTTATTCAAGGGGCATAAGTCATCAGATAATGACCAAATGTGAACTTGACCTGCATTTTCCTATGATATATACAAATGTCAAATTTGACATATGCAACTGCAACATTTGTGCAACTATTGCCAAGATAATAAATGGAAACTGATGATGATGATGAAATGACAGAATGACAGAACAAGGTTACAATATATGCCCCAGCCATTTTATAGCGGGGGCATAAAAATTATCCACACAGATTCATTATACTGTTTATTTAGCATTATAAAGTTTCAAGGGGAGATACTCTGTTAATCTTATTCATATCAAAAGGGAACAGTTTGTTTGTCACATTGGCACTGTAAAGGTCCATTTCAGGTGCACCCCTGTGCATTATTTTAGACATGAGTGGGCACCTAAAATAAAAACCCCAATGTTCCTTTAGCTCACTACAAAGCTTCCTTACATTAAAGAAGATTGTGGGATTCAACCCACAGTAGTGAGGGGTAAGAGGCCTAAAGTGGTACATTAAAAAAACCCATACAGTTTAGTAGTTTGAGTATTTGACAAAGAAATGTCTCATGATGTTGAAACTGAATAAATTTGTGCTTTGTTGATAATAAACAAAAAATGACATGAAAATTTTACTTTCATACCTGATTGACAATACGTTCAAGCAGTGTTCTATCTTCCCTTGAGAATGTCCCTTTTTTAATTGGGGTCTCTGCTTGGAAGCTAAAGGCAAAATTTCGGGTATCCTAGAAATGAAAAAATATCATACATGTACATTATGTCAAATATCACACCCTTACAAAACAAGAGCTGTCCGTAAGACAGCGCGCTCGACTTTTTTATTGCTTGCCAATAAAAAAAGTTTTTGCAGTAAAAGGCAATACAAGAATCTCTGTATTTTTAAAGTGAACTAGTTGTTTGATACCCTTGAATATTACAGCAATGTTTATATGACATAATTTATGGTAAAGTGAACAAGTGGATAGGAATGAATTTTTTTAGATTTTTTAAGTTTTTTAGTGCTTGCCTATAATACAAAACATTGACAGTTAAGGGCCATAATTCAAATAAAATCTTTGACAGAATTACCTTCTCCTGGACATGTTTGGGAATCATGATTGTAAACAAGTATTCCAACTTTCAAATTAATATCTCAAACAGTTCAGTCAAAAAGTGGACTGGTACTAAAAACTTAACCAAGATTCTAAGTCGATAAAAGGCCTTAATTTTTAAAACAAATCCTTGACAGAGTTACCTTCTCTTGCGTACAGATGGGGGTAATGATGTGAAATAGCATTAAAAGTTTCAAAGCAATATCTCAAAGGGTTAAGGCAATAAGTGGATTTTACCCATATTCAATGTATTTTTCTAAGTCAAAAAGGGGCATAATTCTGTCAAAAACCTTGACAGAGTTATGTCCTCTTGTCTGTTGATGAAGGTCGTGATGGTAAACAAGTATGGTCAGTTTCAAAGCAATACCTCCAATGGTTTTGAAATAAAGTGAGGTGGTACAAAAAACTTAACCAAGCTCAATACACTTTCTAAGTCAAAAAAGGGCCATAATTCTGTCAAAAACCTTGACAGAGTTATGTACTCTTGTCTGTAGATGGAGGTTATGATGGTGAACAAGTATGGTAAGTTTCAAAGCCATACTTTTAATACTTCTGAAATAAAGTGGGGTGGTACGAAAAACTTAACCAAGGTGTGACGCCAACGCCGACGCCGGGGCGAGTAGGATAGCTCCCCTTTTCATAGAAAAGTCGAGCTAATTATTAGGGTGTATTTTACTGGAATTTAATTTTCTCCGATAGACATTGGTTCATCTTTTTTACACACAAATTCAAAATATTTGAGGTAGCACGCAAATAAGTGCTTACACCAACGCTCAGGGGACTAGAATAGTTCTACTTAGAGATATGTCCATAGAACACAGATGTCTCAACACTCCAATGTCAGTCTACAACATACAGCAGCACAATATGACAAACTGACAGACAAAGGAAATTCAACATCACTTTCATAACTCCTTTTATGTGGTTGAGGCATATGAAATGACATCAAATTTTTCCAATGTTGACATTTTGATTTTTGCCAGTATTTAGAATTTCAAATCTTTATTTTATATCCTAAAGTATGCTTTTAAGAAAATAAAAGCAAGCAAAATCCAAGATGCACATCTACAATAAAAACAAGCCAAATCCAAGATGCACAACTACACATGCCGACCAACATTCCTGTAAAGTTTCATGACTCAAAGTCAAATACTTTTTGGGCTATGCACGACACTCAAAAAAAAAAGAATTTTACTAAAAAAAACAACACCTTTTAAAGTAACCAAAGAGAATAATAATTATCAAATTGCATAAAAATATTCCACTTTTATTTTCATGATTTTGTTGTTCTAACAAAGTAAACAACAACCATTTTTCATCAGATATAATGTAGTCATAAATGATCGAAGAAGTATAATCGAAAACACTCAAATCATTGTCAACTCAATGTTTTTAAATTGTATATTACAATAGATATAATATAATGTAGAAGGTTTTTTTTGTCACAACATATGTCTCCCCCATAGATATTGTCAGGATGGTGAAAGTCAAAACCTAAGTTAGTTAGTTTTAAGAATTTACACAGATGAAGAAGACACTGAAAAGTGATAAGGAAATGAGAAAATACTTAATGTCTTACAAGTAAAGATATTGGTAACCAAGTGAAAAATGATGTTAAGTTTTGTCAAAAATCCTGTGAAAGGCGGACAAGATTTATCTATATATAGCTCTAGCAGTCACTTTGTTCAGTGAATTGGAACATGCCAGACATATGCACTACTAAGGTTAGTTTTCATCAATTCTGTGAAGTTTCATCATAATTGCAACAGCAGTTTGATCTGTGAAAGCTAGACAAGATTTTTCTATTTATAGCTCTAGCTGCCATTCTGTGCAGCAATGCAAAACATGCCTGTGATATACACAACTAAGGTTGTTACTAATCAGTTTGTAAAGTTTAGTCAGAAATCTGCCTGTATCCTGGGAAAGCCAGACAAGTTTTTCTATTTTTAGCTCTTGCAGCAATTTCATGAAGCAAAGTGGAACATCTGGCTATAAGCACAACTACAGTTGGTACTGATCAATCCTGTGAAGTTTCATACAAATACCGCCAGCAGTTTCACCTGTGAAAGCCGGAAAAGATTTTTCTATTTATAGCTCTGATGGCCATTTTGTGCTGCAAAGCAAAATGTGCTGGCCATATGCACAAGTAGGGTTAGTACTGATCGATCCTGTGAAGTTTTGTTGAAATTCCACCTGCAGTTAAACCTGTGAAGTTATAATTATAAAATTTCAAGTAACAATATTTCAAGAAAAAATATTAAAAAAGTGAAAATTTCAAAAAATGACTCACAGATAGTTTCTGGATAATTTCCTGAACTTTTGGTGTCTTTAACAGACGGCGTGTGAGATACCCTTTCACTGCAGCAGACACTTTATCAAACTTAGGCTGCATTGCTGGGTCAAATACCTGAAATGTATGAGATTTATACATGACCTGTACTGATTTGTAAATAGACTTATTAAACTTAACTGCAGACAATCCTGATTATAAAATTTATACTGTTAAGTTAATATTGAATTCTGAAAGGATGATGTCTGAAGACTACTACATTGTTATGTACAGGTGCTTCACTAATATTTTGTACTAAACTAAATTGCTTTGTACAGGTACTTCACAAATATTGTCCTAAACTAAATTGCCATGTTCAGTTCACTAATTTAAGCCCTCTAACATGAGGTATGTTGTAGACTCAATGCTCTTCATATCATGCATGCAAGAACCTGAGATTATATTTTGATTTTAAGATTCAAAATAGAAATGACAAGAAGTAACTTTAAAAGATACATAGCTGGAGTAAATCTGTTTTTTTACATGCAAACATTTTTTTTCTGATTTTAGAATTCATGAAGAAATGTTACGACTGCCTGTTTACTGATGAAATAATGACAGAAATTACTTGTGCAAATTCAAAGTTGTGATTACAACAGTTATACAGGGCTCTCGGTAGATTAAGTCCAAGTACCAACAAATTGTACTACAAATGATTGAAATGTGCTAGTTTATGTATGGGCAATATCTCCCCTTTATGATGCAGAAGTGATATTCCAACCCAGAATAAAAAGTACCCAAGAATCTAGCTTTGGATGTTGAAATATTTTGACTATCAGGTTCTGAAACACACAAGTCAAATTTACTTCTACCAAAGTTTTCATGGATGCAAGTATCTCAATGGTCATCTGGTTTTGTTACATTTTTTATATATTTATAACACAATGTTGTACTTTTGAAAGTGATATAGAATTGTTAAAAATGATAATTATCAACAAGATTGCCTTTGTGAAAAAATGCTCTGCCACCACATTAAAACAACACTAAATAGTAGGAACAGAAGATCATTTTTTTGTTTCTATATAAATTTGCCATAATGAAGTCGTCTAGTGAATTTGATGCCCCTTGTCTTACAACTTCACCTTGCTGGGGATTAGCAAGTACTCCAAGTTTCGTAATTACAGCTTTTAAATTAATTTAATAATGAGCTACATTAAATTTTTTTTGGACAACATCGATCGTTAAAGCTTCACTTTTTCTTCGAAACAGACAAAAAACTTAAAATACACACAATGAAATGATTGTCCATAAAAGAACATTAATAATTTTGGTCTGACAAAAAGAAACTGAAAGGTTCATACTAATGTTTCAGCTAGAACTTACCGCATCAGGTATTGTATATCTGCTTTGATGGGGATTTGACATCTGCTTCAAAGGAGAATGTTGTATAGGTTTGTATGTCCTTACAACAGGTACTGGTGTTGACTGGTTTGAGAATACTAGCTGTTTTGGAGTGGCCTTAGCAAAACCACTCACTTCTGACACATTATCTCTATCCTTTGGATTGATGTACAAACTTGGACTAGATGGATAGATGAAAGGATTACTGGAATGGCTTGAACCTGGGTCCTGGCTTTTGATCACACTAAGTTGTTGCAGAGGGGATTGGATACCTTTTAGCATACCTGGATCTCTATTTGGTATAGTGCTGTAACTTGTGTTATGACTAATACTACTCATATTGGGATCAGGTATATAACCCATTGGAACATCCATTACCACACCAGCTCGTGAATCAATAGTGGAAGCCATTCTTGGATCTTGATATGGTCCTGGTGCAGCTCTACCAGGCTCTGGGTATGGTGCAATAGTGCTATAACTTGTGTTAAAAGACATTTCTGGGTTCTGATATGCTACCGGTTGTACATGAAATGGTGGACTTTTTGCTGAACTCTGAAAGAACAATAGCTATATTAAACTAAAACTATCACTGAAGGTCATTTAAACCCTCACCCACCACTTTAACTACTGTATCTGAAAATTAAGTTGTCAGAATCCAAATTTAAACTGGACCTATATTTTATGATGTTTCATCTGTGTACAATAATAATCAAAGTTTATTGCTTTGTCAAAAGAATGTCATCATATACTAACCATTATTTTGGTAAAAAAGGGAGATAACTAAGTATAAGAAAAATTAGTCTTCTGAAGCCAATTTCGATAAAAAAGGACAATTTTTTTGTAAAACTACCTATTCGAGTTACCAACCTTAAAACAAACAGTGCATACTGCAGTGATATTTCATGTTCAAGCCTTGTCCTAAAGGATGTTGTGTCAAAATATGAAGACATTCCATTTATAAATAACATTTTTTTAGCCAGTTATAGCAAAAAATTAGCAAAATTCAATAATTTGACCTTGAAGATCAAGGTCATTTATGACTTAGGTCAGTCTGGTCATCTTAAAGGAACATTCCAAAGGATTATTATGTCAAAGTATGATCACAATGCATTCATTAACAAAAAAGCAATAGCCACTTTGGTACATTTTAGGGATATTTTCTAAGTAAAAAAGTGGCATAATTCTGTCAAACTAACTATATATTGTGATACTGCTTTGATGTGCTCCCCCCACACACACAAACTATGTTTGGTGGGGTTATACTATTTAAAATCTTTTAACCTTTCTGAATATCATTTCAAACATGCTTAAACCAGTGAAAATAAGAGCTGTTGGAGAAGCAGCATGCAAATATTTCTCTTGTATGTAAATAACAGACAAGAACATAACACACAAAAACATAATCTAAGTTGAATGCTTACATGTGTGGGCAATTGTTGATGTAACTGCCATGCTTGGGAGACCTGTGGCATTGACCTTCCCATCTGAGGCTTAAGAGGGTCCATGGGTAAACTAACATCACTACATGTATCTAGAGAATTTATGTTATGCTGGTATGCCTGCAAAATATTGTAAATATATAACACAAATGACTTAAGTCTTTAAGTAAATTTGTCAAATGTTCTGCCATTTTACACTTGCAATCAGGTAACAATTAAAGAACATTCCTCTTGCAGTAAGAGATACATTTTCTGTAATTGAATAAATGGATCATAATATTTCTGGAGTGTTCATTTCTGTCTCCATATTTGTCTCATCGCTAATACAATTTCTCTTAATTTAGTTACACTGTAATGTTTCAACTACTTTTTAAAATAAAATTTAAGTGCTGAATTTAGCGAAAACATACAAAAAACAAGAGCCACAGCTGGGCAAGGCAATGTTCCACTTCTTTTACTTTTCTAAAAGCAAATAAACAGATTAAACAAATCTTTTAAAAGAAGCTTAAACAAAACAAAAAAATAAGGTTTTCCCTTTTTTATTTTTATAGGTATGTCTAGGCAAACTTCTTCTTTTAATGAAGTAGATTCTTGTTGATACCTCTTTTGGTTTCAGAGTTATGTTCCACCCAAGAAATGCTGCAGACAGACAGACAAAAAATGACTCGGGGAGCATAGAACAAGCAAATTTTTTTAGACATTTGACCCCTAAGGTCAAGGTCATTTATAAATGAGTCTAGTCTACTTGAAGAACTTGTCCAAAGTGTTTTTGTGGCCATTATGAAGACAATACATCAACAACTTAAAAAGTTATGATCAAGGTTAAATTTTGTGGACAGCAATGGCAACTGCAACACTTCCATGATTGTAACAATATACCTATCTTTTTTTCTTTGAAAAAAAAGTCATGCCGAAGAAAAAAAAAACCAGCACAGCTAAGCTTGAATTTATCATTAGATAAAGGATATCAATTATAAGCAAACCTTACCTCTATTTCATGTTGTAAACTCATTTGCTCCTTTCTTTGAGCTACAAATAACTCTTCTAGTTGAGCTCGCTGATGCTCAATCAACTTCTGTTGTATCAGCTCAAACTGATCTGACTGCATCTTGAATAATTCCTCTTGTGAGAGATGATTCATAGACTGAATACTGGATGTGTAAGTTTGAATTAGTGTACCTATGTCCTCTATAACATTAGGATAGTTTTGTGTACTTTGTCTACTCAAACTGTCATCGTCTTCATCTTCATGATGAAGTGAATGTTCATGAACTTGATTTAAATATTTTTGAATGTGTTCAGCTTTAGCTTCCTCCTCTCTTTCAATCTCTTGAATTCTGATTGGACAGTCACTGTCTTCATGAACTCTGGCTGGTTGTTCATTATTATTCTGAATACTGATAATGTGGTCAGTATTTTCATGAATTTCGACTGGTTTTTTAATGTTTCCTTGTACTCTCACATTTCCAGAATTTTCCCGATTTTTTTTGTCTGTCTGTATTTTGATTGACTGTTCATGGTTTCCTTGCACTTTCTGATTTATTTCTTCTTGTAACAACATTGCTTGATTAATCTTTTCATCAGATTTGGTAAGCTGTTCAAAACAAATTTTATTCTCAATATAACCTTTCATACCATCATCATCATTATCATCATCATCATCCCCATTATCATCATCATCTTCTTCTTCTATTTCTTGGTCATCACTTTGCATAACATCCAACTCATTTTTTTCATTCTGACTTTTTAAGTCTCTACATTTCTGTCTATTATTATCACTGTTTTCATCACTTTCAATAGGCCTATCTATTTCTTCAAGTTCATGCTCTGTTTCAATTTTACCAAGATAAACATTTTGAAACCCCATGTGTGGGAAATTTGGAATATCTTTTACAGTTTCACTTTGTTCCGACTTACAGTCATCTTTTTCCAGCCAAGTCTTGGAATATTCCGTTCTATTTTCATCTTCGCTATCTGTATCTTCAAGTTGAACTTTATGCAAATTACTCCTTATCATGTCTTCCTCATCTAACATTGACCTATTTTCTTTCAAAGAATTTCCAGTTTTACTAAAAATAACTGGCTTTAAAATTACTGAGGAATCATCCAACTCTTGCAATTCTTTAGCTATTTTCTTGGGTTTCTTAAATTCAAAGTTTTCGTAAACTTGATAGTTGCCTTGATCTGGTTTATAATGGGAAAGCATGTAAGATTTAGTAATCTCATCTTGCATTGAACTTCTACTGATACTATCATCATGTGACACTTTACCTTGAATATACCTGTCTAAATCTGCTGTACTTGTGCAATAACGATACTGGGAGTCTAAATTCATGTTGGCTTTTGAAAAGTTCTCTTGCAAAACTTTTTCTTGACCATCTTTCACAGAGCTTCCAAAAGGCATATCAGATTTGATACTAGATTTCATATGCACAACTGCTGGATGATTTTCTCCAATAGGTCCTTCTGGCATATTGACAGTAAACACATTTAACACAGGTTGATTTCTACCAGATCTAACATTTGATCCACTAGGTAAATTATCATCTGAACTTTCAGTATCTGCTGGCACAAACTCATTCTCTTTATCAGAAGTGTTAAGATCACTTTCCTGACTACTATTCTCAAATGGGTGTTGATTCTGAAATTCTCCTGGAGATCCAGAAGGAGAATCAATATTTGGACTTAAGGCAACTTTACTTAACATATTTCTACCATCACTAGAAGGCACTTCTAATGATGCATCAGGTCCTGCCTCTTGGCCTTCATTTAAATTTCTTGACTCTCTGCTCCCATCAGTAGAATCTTCAAAATTTTGACTACTTTTTGGAGTTATGTCAAGTTTTCTGTATGATATTTTATCTTCATAGGACTGACTGGCACTTGTACTAATTTCTGTCACAAGTGTAGAAAAGTGAACAGTATTTTTCAATGACTTTGGACTCATTCTTGAACGAGAGGCACTTACTGAACTTGCTGAACTCAATATAGAAGATCCAGTGGGACTCATCCTTGACCTTGAATGGGCACTAGAGTTTTGAACTGAACTGTTTGAAACATTACTTTCATTCGTCCCACTTACTGATAACTCATTTACTGCCTCAGACAAATCTGACTGGCCAGAATTTTCGGAACTCTGCCCTATAGCACCATTTGGAACACTTCTGTTATCACAGGTATTCTCAACTCTTGCACCTTGTCCAGCAGGTTCAAAACCAATGTTACTAGTGGTTGTTGAGGTTAGAGTATCTTCCATATTTAATGCCTTTGACAATTTTGTCAGCATATGAATAATTTGTTGTTGTTTAAGAGATGTTAGTGGTATTCCGTTATAATCACTTGGCAAAGAATCAAACTGCTCTAAGGAAGCAAAGTCTGACTGCAATGAATCAAGGGTAGCTAATGCTTGTTCCTCTGAAATAGGGAAGGGGAACAACTCTGCTGTAGCTGTTTGAATGGGGTCAAGATCTTGTCTAACCTCCCCTGCAGCACCTTCAACATTTGGTTTAGCAAATCTTTTATTCATGTCTTTTTCCTGTTCCTTTGAAAGTTCCTGTTCCAAAATTTCCAGCGGATTTTGTAATTGATAATCAAAGTGAGACTTTGAACTAGTTTTTCTTTTTCTTTCTTTCTCTTTAGTATCTAGACTCATTTTCTTTAACCCAGTTTCATTCTGTTTAATTTTTGAATCATTAACAATCTCTTTCCTTTTATTTGAAATTTCAGATTTGACTTTACTGTCATCAGATTTATTTATTTTAATGCTTTCTTTTTTATCCTTAAGTTTAGTATTTTTGTTATCTTGTTGGCCAATTATCTTGGACTTGTCATGTTCATATGCTTGAGGTCGACCTCCTTTAGGAGAAAAACTTTTGCCAGATACAATAGGTTTCCTCAAATCCTCAGTTTTAATACCAGCATCTATATTTCTGAGATCTGGGGTTGAAGAGGACTGCCTCAAACCTCTTGAGGGTGGTCGACCAACAGGTGGATGGGGTAGTAGAGCTCTGGCATTTGGAGATGAAAGATCTTTTGAAGAGTTTATAGAATCAAGTTTTTCTCCCTGTATCCCTGATCTATCTAGATGTTGTGAAGAGAAAGACTTTTGTTTAGATAAACTTCCTACTTTACCTAAAGAGTTATAATTTGTGGGCTCCTTCTGTTTAGCATCACCACTACTTTGAGGTGCTGACCTTGCAGGAGACATTGCATGCTTTGTTGCTGAAGACTTACTTAAAGTTTTTGCATTAGGGGAATTAATGTCTTTTCCTGTTACATTGACCACTATTTCAGATGGCACTTTTACACCAGCAGGATTTGTGATCTTGCTTGTCACCTTTGATATGACCTCTGAACTGTGTCTATCAGATTTTCTCTTAGAAGCAGGAGAAGAAGACTTTGTAGATTTAACAAATTTTGAAGCTTGCTTGGCAGCTCTTCTTTCCTGAAATTAGATTATAAACATTGCAGTCATATTAAATAATAATCTCACTGAAATTCTGTTTTTGACTTATCTTTTTTTCAAAGATTAACTATTTCTAAAATTCAAAATAGGACAATTGGATCAAAAACCAATACAAATTTAAGTATCAAAACATGTTTTGCTTTATTCAACTTCCCCAGTTGATAAAATTCAAAATAAAATAATTTCAAAATTTACTTCTCAATTTCTTATAATTTATTATTATCAGTAACATGTTTGCATAAAAGCTTCACCCATTCACTCATTAAAGAAAGGAGGATTACTCAAATTATTAGAGCCACCACCAAGTGGGGACCAGGCTTGACTTTGACTTAGGTCCAACACGTTGAAGAAAAAAACGCAATAAAGTTAGATAAACAAATTATAATTTAAATCTAAAACTTAATCTTGATGGTCAAGGTCACATTTGTACCATCAAAGTTAATTTGAATTAATCATCATCACCAGTTTTGTTTTAGGACGCTATTCCATTGGTACGCGATCGGTGATCCGTGTCCGGGACATGTCCGTGAGTATTATTCCATAGGTACGTATTATTTCTATATACTTTAATTGAAGTATAGCAAACAGAGGATAATTATTTTTAGAATATAATATAATTTCATTCTAATACCAAAACCAGTTGTAACATCAAAGAATAAGGTAAAATGAAAAAGGAACAAACATTGAATACCAGTTAGGCTTTTGAATGAAATAGCGGCCTTATATGTTCTTTTGTCCAAGAATGAACCAAATCCATCAATAAATAACAAAGTTATGATAATTTAAGCAAATTTAGATAATCTGACCATGAAGCAAACTTTAGACATGTAACCTTGAAGGTCAATGTCACTTATGAATGAAGGTAAAGTTTAGTCAGGTCTACTAAAAGGTCTTGTTCCAAAGGTTGTTGTGGCCTAGTATGAAGAAAATACACGAAGAACTTCAAAAGTAATGATAAAGGGTCAGTTTGAAAATGGCAATGCCGCCATGACCATAACAATACCTATGCTTTTTTCTCTTGAAATAAAAGTCGAGCTAGAAAGAAGGAAGGTTTAGAAAACAAAATTTAAGTTCAAGGATGGTTATCCTAACTAGAAGGGGTTTTGGTCACAAAACATAGAACAGCAGCATATAATCCCAGTAAATTTTTCCTATTTTTAGCTCTGGTGGCCATTTAGTGCAGTGAAACAAACGTGTAGGTGAATGCACATCAAGGTTTGGTACTGATCACTCCTGTGAAGATCAATAAAATTCCTCCCAGCAGTTTGACCTGTGAAAGGCAGACATGATCATTTTTTTGTTCTGGGGGTCATTTTGTGCAGCGATGCAGTGCGTGCCAGCAATAAGAACAAGAGCTGTCGGTAGGACAGCATGCTCGACTATTCTTAGTGCTTGATAGTAAAAAAAATGCCTGATACAGTTACCTCCTCCTGTTTACAGGTTGGGGTCATGATGGTGAACAAGTGTGCAAAGTTTCAAAGCCATATGTCAATGGACTTTGAAAATATTTGAACTATTACAAAAACTTTAACGTAAATTCTAAGTCGAAAAAGGGGCATTATTCTGTCAAAATGCTTGATAGAGGTACCTCCACCTGTTTACAGGTTGGGGTCATGATGTTGAACAAGTGTGCAAAGTTTCAAAGCCATATGTCAATGGACTTTGAAAATATTTGAACTATTACAAAAACTTTAACGTAAATTCTAAGTCGAAAAAGGGGCATAATTCTGTCAAAATGCTTAATAGAGTTACCTCCTGCTGTCTACAGGTTGGGGTCATGATGTTGAACAAGTGTGCAAAGTTTCAAAGCCATATGTCAATGGACTTTGAAAATATTTGAACTATTACAAAAACTTTAACGTAAATTCTAAGTCGAAAAAGGGGCATAATTCTGTCAAAATACTTGATAGAGTTACCTCCTCCTGTCTACAGGTTGGGGTCATGATGGTTAACAAGTGTGCAAAGTTTCAAAGCCATATGTCAATGGACTTTGAAAATATTTGAACTATTACAAAAACTTTAACGTAAATTCTTAGTCGAAAAAGGGGCATAATTCTGTCAAAATGCTTAATAGAGTTACCTCCTCCTGTCTACAGGTTGGGGTCATGATGGTGAACAAGTGTGCAAAGTTTCAAAGCCATATGTCAATGGACTTTGAAAATATTTGAACTATTACAAAAACTTTAACATAAGAAACTGATATCATAAAGTTCATATTTGTATCTGTAATAGTGCTTGTGTAAAAACATTACTGGTTGCTTTCACTAAGGCAAAAAATAATTACTAAAGAAGTCACATGCTGTTATACAAAATCAGTGGTTTCCTTGTAAGTCACTGAAAGCTAAGAAATTCAATGGTAAGAAAAGGAAATGTGTGCTATGGAAGTCACTGGTTGCTATGTAAAAAAACAATGTTTGCAATGTAAGTCACTGGTTGCTATGGAAATTTACAGTTGATATGAAAAGTCAATAGCTGCTATGAAATCACTGGTTGCTACAGAAGTCAATGGTTGTTATGGAAAGCAAGCAGTTGCTATGGAAAGCCAATGGTTCTAATGGAAAGTCAATAGCTCCTATGGAAAATCAATAGTTGCTATGGAAAGTCAATGGTTGCTCTGAGAGTCACTAATTGCTATTTAAAGTCACTGTTTGCTATGGAAATCAATGGTTGCAGTAGAAAGTTACCGGCTGCTATGGAAGTTTATGGTTGCTATGGAAATTCAGTGGTTGCTCTGGAAGTCAATGGTTGCTATGGTTGCAACATAAGTCATTGATTGCTATGGAAAGTCAATTGTTGCTATGGGAAGACACTGAATGTAATGGATAGTCAGTGGGTGCTTAAGAAGTCTAGTGTTGCAATCGTAAGTCAATGATGGCTATGTGAGTCACTAGTTGCCATGGGAAGTCACTGGCTGCTATGGAAGTCTATGGTTGCAATGGAAAGTCCCTGGTTGCTATGGAAGTCAATGGTTGCTATGAAAGTCTATGGTTGCTATAGGAAGTCACTGGTTGCTATGAAAATCAATGGTTGTCAGGAAAAGTCACTGGTTGCTATGGAAAATCACTGGTTGCTCAAGAGGTCTATGGTTGCCGTGGAAAGTCAATGATTCCTATGTAAGTCACTGGTTGCTATGGGAAGTCACTGGTTTCTTAGAGAAGTAACTGGTTGCTATGGAAGCCAGTGGTTGCTATGGAAAGTCACTGGTTGCTATTGTAATGTATGGTTGCTATGGGAGTCAATGGTTACTATGGAAAGTCACTGGATGCTATGAGATGTCACATATGAGGAAAATCTTGTTTCGACTCCAGGGCTGTAATTTATATAATTTTTGTTGATGTTCACCTAACTATGTAACATGTTAAATATCATAAGATGATAGCCCTTGCAGTTTTCAAGGAGATTTTTGAAGTACATGTATTTACTTTATAAGGAAGAGCCATGACCCCCTGGGGTCTGGATGCCAATTTTGACCCAAGGGCTAAAACTTGAACAAACTTGGGGCGTCCGTGGCCGAGTGGTTAAGGTCGTTAGACTTCAAACCACTTGCCCTTCACCGCTGTGGGTTTGAATCCCAACAGGGACTTTGGACTCTTTCATGTGAGGAAGCTATCCAGCTAGCTTACGGAACATCAGTGGTTCTACTCAGGTGCCCTTTCGTGCCTGAAATAATGCACGGAAGGGCACCTGAGGGAACGTCGCGAAATGACCTATACTGTGTGGATGTGACGTAAAACACAAAACAAACCAAAATAAACAAATACAGTAGGAGAGGTCTACTAGATATTGTTTCATGTAAAAAAAACTTAGCTTAACTCTTGTAGCATGAAAGAAGAAATTGTTTTAAAGTTTTTACTTTATACATAATTATAAGGAAAATCTATGTTGGGGCCAATTTTGACCCAAGGGCTATAGTTTGAACAATTCTTGTAGAGGTCCACCAGTGAACAAAGAAAGTACTTTACTTTCAATTAACATTAATTACCCACTGACAAAGGTCAAAATATGCAAAAACAGCCCTTACTGTGTTAGTCAGGCAATAAAAATAATTAAATAATTAAATAAATATTGCAAAATCAGGCATTCATTGCACTTAACACGTAAATAATAATGACTTGAATTGTGAGTATTTTCACTTTCTCAAAATCTTAGTACATTTTTCTCCAAACATGCAGCTTTAAGTAAATATGTAAAACAATGCAAAGTGATACAATTATGATTATTCAACAACAGGAAGAGCTTGATATTTTGAAATTTTCATTGAAAATAGTTTTTTTAAAATAATACAAATGTCATTACAATGAACATTAAATAGTGAAATAAACATCATGGAAATTTTATTTGTAATATATGGTTACATAACAGATGTGCATCAAAGATCAGATATTATAAAGAAATATATGTACATGTACCATCATCCATGCACCATTCCCTAACACAAACAGTTGAACATATGATAGTTACACTTGTCTTTTTTCTTTTCTTTTTTTATTTGGCTTTTTGTTTTTGTTTTTTTTTGCAAGAGGACTTTTTTTTACCTTTAAACTCTATCAACCAATAGGCCCTGTATGCCATACATTAACATTCTAATATGAAATGTTCTGGTCTTCTAAACTAACCTATGTATCAGATGCCTTAAGATATGTGTACCAGCCAATACAAGGCAGCCGGGCTTGTCAAATTAACCTTAAAGTACAGATATCTTTAGAAACAATGAATGCTCTTCAAAGTAGCACACAAGTGTAATAGGCATGTGTTAATAAGAAAAGTGTAGATGGAATGAGCAATTTACAGATTATGACTGATCAATTCAGAATCTGTATAAAATATTTGAACATAGCACATCTACAAAAAACATATTTGAATGCTTTTTTGAATATTTAAGGAACAAGCCTATTGTAATCTACTGATGATGAGTGATCTCAATACAATTTACATCTCAGATGGACAGACAAAGTGGTATCTATATATATATAATTATATCCAGATTTTGGAGCATGTAAAATGACATGAGACTTAACGAATATTCAAGAATATAGATAAACAGAGGATATTAAATGAGTGTAGGTTTGATACTTAATTTATTGCACAAGTTGAATAAATATTATGCTAGCCTCTAGCAAGCATAATATTCTTTTATTCAATGAATTCAATAAATTTAGGGTTGAATTTACACGAATATAATACATGTATTCTATTTATCACATATCCCAAATAAGAAAGGTTTACAGTTTTTCATTGACGCACCTATAATGGCTTTATTACACTCCTAGTACCGTAGTTCATGCGATAAATTAAGCTGTTAATGTATGGAATACATGACATCCTCCTGCTTTCATAAAAAATTATAGTATAAGACAAGTGTAGCCACAAACATGACCTACTAGTAATTTGTACATTCCATTTGTTCTTGGCAGCTGGCTACGACTTTTTAATGAGTATGTACTCTGTAATAGTAAGATCTTTACTTAATGTTATAATATAAACTAGTCATCAAATCTCTCTGTGTAACTAAAACTTGAGATCTCAAATACAACTCGGGTGGTTTTCACCTTGGTGCTGACCTAAATGTCATAACTTCATGGTAAATGTGACTTTTTAAGACCAAATAAATAACTTACTGTAAGTTAAAACATCTTTAACTAGAACTCTTCTTTTCAACCTAAATTTTACCACTGTCCATAAAAACTGTATGTCATAAATTTAAGCATACAAACAAATATAAAGAAATGATACAGCTAAAAGGGCCATTACAGTCCTTGATCATTCACCTGAGAACTTTGGCTAGACAAGGTCACAATTATCTAGAACATATTTTCTACTTTTAGACCAATGAACATAATATTAATATTATTATATACTTTTAAAAGAAATATTGAGAAATTTTGATGAGATAAAATGCTTATTTTTACTTTCTGTATTTTCACTGTAAATATTTATTTTTCTCTGCAGTGAAATAATGTTTTCTGTATTTTCACTGGTGTCTTGCCAGACTACTTTCTACACAAAATTAAATGGGAATTTTTCCAAATAATAACTTTTAAAAAGAGAAATAGTATATAATAAACAGAAAATTCAAGTCTCTTCTATAAATAAAGAATTATTTTCATCTTGTGGTATGAAAATTATCATATTTCACTTGTGAATACTGCCACTCATGAAATATTTATTTTCATACTATATACTTTAAACATCTATTGAGGCTTCAATGACCAATTTTTAGCCCCTCATTGCTATGGGTTTAAATTCTTTCATGTGAGGAAATTCTCCAGCTAGCCTACAGCATGTTGACGGTTTTTCTACACAAACCAGACTTCCTCCAACAGTAAAAGCCGGAAAAAATCCCTTATAACAATAAATCAGCAAGATAATGTTGACTTCAAACGCCACCAAAAAATAAATGTTTAATTACCTCTACTCCAGCAACTATTGACTGTACTTTGGCATGTAACTCATCCTTCTTTTTAGCACGGGTACATTTTTCTCTTCTCAATGCCTCATGTTTATATGATACCATTTCTTCCCTTCTTCCTGGAGTCAGCTAAAAATATATCATTATAGCATTGATACATAAAATTCATCATATTGAGGAGATCATTCAAAAAATTATTTGAAAATACTTTTACAGGATTATAAACCTACTCTATCAAATCAAATCAGGAAAGAAAGCTGCTATATTATAGAGTTGTACACTGAAGGACATCATATTTCCAAGTCTCCTTCCACCGACTCTGTAACAGCAACACATTATTATTATACACAATTCTTCTCTGACAATACCCTGTTTATATTTACAACACACTAAGGCCAACTACAATACCTTTCATGCTAAAAAATCATAATTTTCACTTACAACAGGAGGTAGAATAGAGATCCCATTAAACTTGATGAGGGACATGAACTGCAACGTGGAAGCATCCAACACTGGCTGGCCCTCGTCATCAAGAGCACGACTTCGTGCCTCAAAATATTCTAACAAATCAGCCATATCTGGAGCCTGAAATTATAAATAAATATGCATATAATCATATAACAAATTGTATGCAATATCAAAAACAACATGTGCATTATATGGTATAGAAATAAAATTTTAAAACATCAAAAGGAAATACAGTTAATTACCTTTTATATCTACATGTATATTATTTATTTTTTCAAGGCATTTAAATTTAACAAGCCATGAAACTGATCTTTTCACCTAATTCCCTTACTGATACATAAATAAAGCCATCCAGTATGAGTACTATAGTATAAAACTTCTTGCAGCCTGGTTATAGCATTCAATTATTCATGCAAGAAACAGCTGTTACACATTGTGAAATATCTGTCTAACAGACAACTGTTAATTGAATATTGTTTCTCAATACAATTAATTAAAGGATGTCAGAATATCCTATATACAATCAATACCCGTAATGTTTTTTGCTTTACATATGTTGCCTGTTAATGCTTACCATGCCGGATTTCTTAAATGTGTTTGTCCAGTCAATGGGTTTTTTTACAACTAGGGGATGCAGCCCACAGAAAAAAATAATGCCTGAAAACGGTTTCAGGGTATAACCAGTTACAGAAACAAGAGGATCATGATGGCCCTATTAATATTGCTCATCCGAATATTAATTCTCTCCATGACAAGAAACAAGTAATATTATAAACTATAAACGGAAGCAGATATTAAATTTAAATCTTAAACTGATATCACAAAGTTCAGATTTGTATCTGAAAGTGCCTTAAGCCTGCCTTTATAGTCTATACATGTAGTATAACAAAAAAAGATGTTTTGTTTGTTTTTACTATATACATATAATGAAAATAAATTACCCCTTGGGATGGGGCCATTTTGACCCAAGGGCTATAATTTGGACAAACTTAGTAGAGGTCATTAGATAATATTCCATGTCAAAAAACTAAGATAATATTCCATGTCAAAAAACTAAGCTTTTAGAGAAGTTTTATGAATGAAGGTCAAGCTTAGTCTAATCAAGGATTCTTGTGTTCATATAAGCAATTCAAGCTATATAGAGGAAAAAAAAAATAATTTATAGAACTGTATAATATAAAGGATATATAAAATCATTATAAAATTACAGAATATCTGACCATTTAATACTATAATGTATCACCTGAGAGTCAGAGACAAAAAAATTTATGCGAAAAATAGAATAAGATTTTACCTTAAGTCTCCTATGTCTAAAACTAATGTTTCCTAAACCTCGATTATTTCCCATCATTGTGTCTTCTTAACATTAACTAATTCAAATCATTTCAAAATAATTTCCATACATGTACTTTTACATGTAAGCTGAATTGTAGAGAATAAAAAATTCTTTTCTTATTTGAAGATTTAAAAATATATCTAAAAAGAGGGACTATTTAGATATTGGCATCAAAAAGAAAATGTGTCAAATATTGGTGTGTTTCTATTTTTCCTACAATAAACATACATAACACAAGTACATTCTTTTGTTTGTAGAGAACTCAAAGACCTTTCATAGAAGCTTTAGAAGATATATGTGACCAAAAGTTCACTAAACTAAAACAAAAACTACTGTCATTGACAATCATAGCTAACTGACAGGAAAACAATCAACAACATATTGACAGGTAATGACTTAAACCCAGCCCATATTGAATCAACTACTACCTAGTCATCTGATATCCTGAAACTTCATGCTTGAAATAATTACAATCTATTAAATTCTATATTTATTGATATTATGACATAGCTAATTTATTTTATATTCAAAAGACAACAAAACATCTCTCAAAGCTGTATTAAATGTCAATTTAAAAAAACAACACTACAGTAAGTTGAGTAACTGTTCTAATCTTGTACAAAGCTGGAGGAAAATGTACATATATTATTCTATAGTTTTAATAAGTTACATTAATATGCAGTAAATGTTTCAGTGCAATAAACTTTGCTGTTTTATATGTTAACAGGGTGCCCGTTTGACCCTTGAAATGACTCTTTAACCCTCCAAATTTCCAAAAGGCCTGATTTGACCATTGGGATTTTAACTGGAGGGTCAAATTTTGTTAAATTCATGGGGATTTGGCCTTGTAGTCGGTAAAACTTAGTCAAAATGACCCTCAGGATTCATGGCTAGTGAACACCCTGTAATATTTATAATTTATTGATATTTACAATGGTTTTTCAACTATTATAATTTGTATACAGGCTACTTGAGTAAGTTGACTGTTTCGATATGGTACATGTACATTGTGTATTTCCGCACAATTTATATTAAAAACATATACATGTAAACAAATAGCAAGCAAATGCTAGGAGTTGTTGACCAAGTTCAGTAAGTTTTTTATAGATAACAAGAGCCACTGCTGGGCAGGGGGCAAGCTCAACATTTTTTTTACTTTTTCTAAAAGCAAACAAATCTTTATAAAGAATATTTAAGAATTTATTTTTTCCTTTTTTATTTCAATAGGTCTGTTTAGTCATTCTTGTTGTGTTGTCCAAGCTTGAATCATTTCCACAAATAAATGACATAGATATAAAAATATTAGCAAAATTCAATCATCTGACCTTGATGGCTAAGGTCATTTAAAATCTAAATCATTAAACATGTCCGTTTGATCACAAGTGATGGTTATCAAATTCATAGATAAATAACAAAATTATGACAACTTAAAACCAAAATTCAATAATTTGACATTGAGGTCATTTAAACCTCAAGGGCAAGATCTGTTCAACCTTTTAGAAGGTCCTTTTCCAAAAGATTGTTCTATCCAAGTATGAAAATAATCCATTGATTAATTACCAAGTTGAGCTGATTATAGCAATAGCCAATCACAGCAATAATTAGTGAAAATTCAATAATTTGACCATCAAGGTCTACTCAACGTCAATTGAGTTTTATATAAATGAATGTCCTGACCACGTAAAAGATGCTGCATCTAAATACATATATGATGCATTAAAGTTAAAGCCAGTTATAGAAAAAACACGAGAAATGTGTCAAATAAAGGTCAAGGTTACATCTTAATTATTCAATATGTTTGCTTGGTAGCAAGTCTTGTTTTGTATTAAACAAATCTGTATGTAATCAAAAAGCGCCACAATGCTATGAAACCAGCTAGGTTTTCAATGACCAAGTATTGATGTGACAGGAATTAGAATGAAATATGGCAGTAAAGAAAAAATGATGCTGTTATTTGTAACACAGAAAATTGGTTTCAATAAAAATATACCAGATACCTGAGTATCTATACCAGGCTGTATTTTCATGTAAGCTGCACACATGCCAAGTTAAGTATCAATAGGTCAAGGTGTACTGAAGTTATTGAGTAGAAGCTGAAAATTCCATTTTAAGCAAGTGACCTTGACCTTGCTCCCAGATATCTAAGTAGCGATCCCAAGCTGCATCTTAATATAAGCTACCTACACAGCAAATTTGGTGTCAATAGGTGAAAGCAAATTCAAGTTATTACGTGAAAATTGAATTTCTTTTTTTAAGCAACAGTGACCTTGACCTTGCACACAGACACCTGGGTAGCAATCCCAGGTTGTTTTTTGATATAAGCTACCCACATACTAAATTTGGTGTCAATAGGAGCAAACTCAAGTTAATATTTTGGAGACTGAATTTCTATTTTTAGCAACAGTGACATTGACCTTGATCACAGACATCTGAATACCATTCTCTCATAGCGTCTTGATATAAAAAGCTACCCACACCCCAAGTTTGTTGTCAACAGGTCTCAGCAAAGAAATTACATAGCAACAGTGACCTTGACCTTTATTACAGACATCAGAGTAGCAATCACAAGCTGTCTATTGATATAAACTACCTAGATACAAAGTTTGGCATCAATAGGCCAAAGCAAACTCAAGTTATTGAGCGGAAACTGAAATTTTATTTTTAGCAACAGTGACCTTGGTAGACTCTGAAACTCAAGGGTCATTAATCTGCCACACAAAATTTTTAAGGATCAAACCCAAATATTCAAGGAACAGCATATTTTGAGTATCACTGATCTAAATTCATACAATATCAGGTATCACGTTTCTAGGCGACTTGGGCAAAGAAGTCACTCTCTTTCTCTACATTTCGCCCAGTTACTCAGAAAAGCAAAAGCAAAGTCTCCCTTATTTGGATAAACATGTACAATAATTTCCCAAATGTCAGTTGTCCATGCTCCGCCATGGAGCTAAATATAAATGGAGAAGAAACTGTAATGTCACACAGTTAAATTCAGTATCAGTGGAATTGTGTTCACGTAGGTTATCATATGTCGCAGGATTTTCCGAGATTTGATGCATCCTGGGTAAAAATAGCCAAAATACTGCTATATTGAATTCCCGGAGGTACATTGATAAAAACGACGAAGCATTTTCTACATTTATAAGAAGCAATAGTTATTTATTCTAAAACGTACAATACATTGTACACACTTTTTCACACAAATATTTCTCGTCGGCAATGAAAACAATAATTCATGGATATCGTCAAAGTTTAACAAGAGCGAGAAAATTGGAGAATAGCGGAAAAACCCGATGATCACCGAAGCGGGCAAAAGATTGTGGGTCTGAATCTGACTTTCCGTCTATTCTCGGAGCTTTCTATCTGTTGTATATATATCTGTGGCTCCGCCTATTTCAAAATGTTCAATTCAACTTATTTTTATTGGGCAGTAAAATTGGAAAACCAATGAAAAGCGGCAAAATTGAGCGGGTGTTAGAGGTGAAAGAATGAAATCTTCAGAGTGTTGAAAATTGCCGACAACAATTAAAGAGATTAGCGGTAATTCAATTGAATTAAGACCAATAAGGGACATACTCAGCCCATAAATTTGTCGGTAAGTCTAGTGATCATGTTGATATATGTTTGCTTTACAAAAGTGTGTCGCTGAAAATGTTCGATGCTCACAATTTTCTTGTCAAATGCCGAATGAAAATAATAGGTAAATGAATTCTGTCAACAATCGCAGTGGTGAAATATACAATGATAACATGTATTCTTAAAATGAATTTCTGTGAGAACAGAGGTAAATGAAAGAAGTTAAAATTTCATTCAAATCATTGTGATGATACTTGCAAACTGATGATCGTGATGCTCGAATAAAATGTATTTTAAGCAAAGTTTTTTAATATGCAGTGGTTGCAATTTGATATTATTAGAAGACAATATTTTTTCTCTACAGTACACATGTTAACTATTCAGAAAAAAAAACAACTTGTGTCAACTTGTGGTAGATTTAGAAATTTCTGTGTCACAAAACATGTCGAACTCGCAAGTTAAAGGTAATCTTTCATGTTTGATAATTCATTTATCATAAATGAAGATAGATAGCTTAATATTTTTAATGGTTACTGAAAGATATATCTATTGTGCTATGTTTACATGTTTAAGTATGAAAATATGTCTAAATTTAAAAAAATGCAAGAGCAAAATGTGTACTGTGTTGTGGAATACGCTACAGCAAGTTATATACCTTGTATATATTTTTTTATAGTAAACGGGTGCTGGATCTTGATGATCAAGGGGGGATTATTTTTAGATTATTTGACCATTATTGGCACATGTGGCAAATTTGCCGTACGACTGTGCTTTAGTGTATCAGGGCTTCCACTAGTGGAAGTTTGGGAGTCATTTACACCTTCATTTTGGCTTGTGACTTCCAAAATCTAATACTTTTCCTTCTTTACCTGTATAATGTGACTTCCAATATCAGAGATTTTGAAATCTTTGACTTCCAAATTTTGAAGCTAAATGGAAGATTTCGAGACGTTTCGGCCCCAAGACGTATCGGCCCCAGACTACCCAAGACATTTCGGCCCCGGACGTTTCGGCCCTTTACCAAATCGGCCCCAGAATAAGGACTGTATTTTAAACCGATATACATGTATTAATAGCATTTCAGTAAATAAATGAATCAATTAATATATATATATTCAATCATTTTGTATAAAAACTAGATTTTAATAGTAGTAGGGGGAAAGTAATCAATACAAACAGAACAGAACATAAACTTTATTTGATAAAATATAATTCACAAACAAACAATTATTTACACCATATATAGATAATATTTTATTTGAATGGCTAAGAAGCAAGACACAAAACAATGCACGAAACAGACATTAAATTATCATCAACAACCTATTTAACAGTGACGAGTTTGATGGATACGAAAATACAAGTACAGAACAGTTAAACAATTTTACTTGAAACAAAACAAATGTGAACAAACACTTTTTATAAATAACATTTTTACAATTTTTCAAATCTTTTGAAGTTTTCTCTGATATTACTTACTGCATAAAGCTATAAACAGTTAATAGTTACACCTTGAAAAAATTACGTATAGTTTAATTAAGATCAAAAGATAATGTTTTCTAAGGAATAATTGTAAGTAACTTTCTTAATCTAGAAGATTTTGTGGTTTGTTTTATAAATTAAGTAACCTGCTTTTATTGTTTGTTACACCTTTAAAAACATTAACGTATATCTAAATGGTTCAAAGATCAAAAGATAATAAATAATTATTTAAAGAATCAAAGTGTCATAATTGTTTAATTGTAATTAAATTAATTGTTGTTGATCAATCAAGCTATATGCTATAGTGGGGCCGAAACGTCTCGCGAAAAAGGGCCGAAACGTCCAGGGGCCGATTTTTCGACTGGGGCCGATTTGGTTTGGGGCCGAAACGTCCTGTTTGCAAATGGAAGCCCTGTAGTGTTGGTTTGTAAACTTTATACATTACATACCTGCACAGATTTCCCTTTATTCAAGTCTGCCATTTCAAATGCTATTGTACTTTTGTCAATTATAAAATAACGATATAACCGAATACTGAGTCATTCATTATTCTTCGTCTATTCACTCCGTAAACAGGTAAATCCCCGAATATTTATAAAAGTTGAAACATGTCCAAGCACGATTTCAATGCAGTTTCAAGCAAGAATAAAGATACTACTCATTTTTCAGTTTGTTTTCCAAAGAAAATGTCACATAGAATGTCATTGTTAAAATAAATGACTAAATCAATTTCATATATTACAGTAAAACAAGCGTAAAGCATTTATTGACAAAATTTTAAACCATTGGCCGCCATGTTTCAACATGTATGTTCCTAACATGGTCAGTATCAAAGCTTTTGATTGGTTAAGAGCAATACACTTTGCCCTATCAAATTCCATTTTTATAAACTCGGATCTAATCTGGTTCCTTAGACTGGTTCCCTGTCCTTTATAATGATGCGACTGGTATCACATGACTGTAAAATGGTGGATGACTAACGAAGTGACTGTATTTTTCAGGTATGATCATATCTCTTTTATTTCCAGATATTTAATCATCTGTCAGTTCCATGTACTGATTATTGTCGGTTTGTCCATTTTGACTAATAATTGTCGGTTTATAACAAAAGCCGACTGATACAGTAGAGAATCCAAATTGCCTCAAAATGATTCTCATGTTACAAACACATTTTTCTACAAATTATGCCACAAAAGACTGGAATTCTTTACCAGACAGCCTTAGGTCTATCGAAAATATCCAAACATTTAGAACGAAAGTTAAACTTTTCTTAAATAATGAAAAAGATAAACAAGTAAATAATTTGTTTATTTATTATTAAATTGATGTGTAACTTATGATAAAGATTTGTAACCTGCTTTTGTTGTATTTGATATTGTATTAGTTTATACAGAATTTATTTCAGTTATTTGTGTACAATGTACTTGTCTTAATATATTGAAAAATGTGCCTTGATTGTTCATAACAGAGATAAGCAGCTCCTATTTACTACATTGAAATATCACTCATGCCTGTCAAAAAGTGAAAAATTAGGTATTTTGTAGCAAATAAAACTTAATGGATGTGCATTTCATCTTTTTATATTATACACCATTTGAAAGTTATTTTTTTTATTTATTTTATTTTTAGCAACAACATAGATCACATTTACATAATAAGATATATATATAAATAAATATATATAAAATAACAGTTTATCCAAATTAAAATATCATTTCATATTAATAATAAATAAAACAAATTTAGTTAATGACTGAGATCAGATGGGAAACTGGATAAATGTATTCAAAATTTCAGATTAAGACTACAACAGTCAGAATTATAATTATAACAGAATATTGTTTAAAGTTACTGATAAACATGATATAAAAGAAATAAAAGAATTTTAATAAAATTTCAATACAAAGGTTTTGTTTAAAAGTGATCTATGGTTACAAGGATAGCCCATTAAGCTGGTGTGCTTATTTCCAATGGGGTCCTGTTAACCAAATAGATGGAAACAAGATGAAACCAGAGAGACATTCATTCCTTAAATAAAAATAGATAATCTTCAAATTATTCAATCACAGTAGTTTTGCATTATCACAGAAAGAAAGGCACAGGAAAAAATAAGATAACTAAAAAATAATAAAGTTTGGCGAACTTATGTCGCCACTTAGTAATATAAAAAATCACTTTGATGTTGCGCAGCCCAAATTGAAGCAAGATGGCTTTTAACAGAAGTTTTATATAAAGTTGGATTTGATATACATTTTACATCATATGGCAAACTATTCCAATCTTTAATACCATTATAGAAAAAAGTGCTATTACATGTCTTATTACAATGAGGAATTGAAAAATTAAAATTATTTGATCTGGTGTTGTAGTTGTGTATATCAGACATCCGAACAAAGTTTGTTTTCATATAAGTTGGACACTTATTATAAAAAATCTTATGCATATGATTAAGTCTTAGTTGTTTTACTCTGTTTTCAATATTTAATATATCTTTTATCTATTGCTGCATGTTAAAATATTGGTAACTTTCCATGCTTTTCTCTTAGAAAAACATAGCAGAACAAACCCAGTGAGTCAGTTTTTTATCATATGAATTGTTTTGTAAAAATTAATAAGTAGTTCTCTTTAAAAATTGATGTATCATTTATTTAAATGGGAACTGTAAATATTTTTACCTGCAGCAGGGTCTTTCAAATAGAATGGTCTTGAAACACGCTATGTAAACCCTTCTCGCTACAATTAAACATGTCTTGGTATAAATCGGTATAGTTTTGCTATACGCAAATTATGTAAGTGTTAAAGAAAAGGGCGAATATTATTATATTAAATACAAGAGCAAAAATGAAAATTTTAACGACATGATGTTATTTAAAAATCTTTAAACTTTTGAAAAAAGGATAAATATTTCAGGAAATGATGTTTTTAAAGCCATCTTTGTTAAAAAAACATAGATTGTTTGTTCAGAATATTTGCCGATAATCGGCGCCATTTTGAAAATGCACCAAATTAAACATCAAATATTTGCAAATAACATCGTGAAATATTATAATATTTTTACATGATACGATTTAATAACATCTTTTCTCTGTAAAATCAATTTCTATTTTGTCATTGAACAATGCATAAATTTAAAAAAAGCTCATGAAACTCGGACCTATTTTCAAATATGAGCAGTAGATTTTTACCTTGACACCGGGAACGAAAAATTCTAATTTCATTGCAAATCTATAAAATTGTTACTTTTAAAGTAAAAACTGATAATATAATGTAGTCAGAGTTAGTTTTTAGTAATTTTTTGATTGATTTAACAAAACATTATCTTATAATTTGATTTTTGAATGGTGATGTGCTATGCCATATCACGGTCGGTAGATAACCCGTGACTCAACCGAGACAGCATTTTTCGTAAAAATTGGTCTGTCTCCAGACCATTCTATTTGAAAGACCCTGCCTGCAGCTATATAGACAACTGCATAAGCTTTCAGAAAATGTATTATTTTACAGATTTTGGTAACTGGTTAATAAGTTTTACTTGCTACAAGTTAGCAAGCACGCATGTTATCAACCTAGGGGCATGACATTTACTGGAATGAAGCTCTTGTTAATATAAAGTATGTTAGTATGGCATGTAACATTTCCTAGCAGATGTCTACAAATATTTTATAAATGATGTAGTTGGGGTAAAAAATGACATGCGACATCAAATATGAACTAATTATTTAATTCTACATTAATTTTAAAGGCCCATTATGTCTCAGAAATGCTATCATTTTTAGCTCGACTATTCGAAGAATATGAGAGCTATTGTAGTCGCCCCGGCGTAGGCGTCAGCGTCGGCGTCTACGTTGGTTAAAGTTTTTTGTAAAGTCAAATATCTCAATTATTACTTGAGATATTCAATTGAAACTTACAATACTTATTTATAGTAACAAGGTACATCAGATTGACAAGTTGGATAACTCTGCCTACAATATTGGCAGAATTATGCCCCTTTTTAACTTACAAATTTTTCAGTTGTAAAACATCTAACATGCACTTAATCCATTATTTAACTATTATTAAACACATGTTTGATATTTCTAAAGAATTTCTGAGGAATAATATGCCTTTAAGAATTCTGACCTTTTCTAGCAATGTATTCCAGGTGAGAGAGCCAGGGCCATCATGACCCTCTTGTCTTATAGTTTTGTTTCCTTGATTGTACCCATTATTTAGTCAAGCATGCTGTCGTCTCTGACAGCTTTTGCTAAGATGTAACAGATTTTTCTTATTTCCGATCTGTCTTCAGCTGTGTTCAACTGTAAGACTAGGGCACAGGATTTTTGTATAAAATGGAATTATCCTTCCTTCAAATATATTTAGATGTTAACATTTTATAACATTTTGTAATATATATCAAACTTTTTATTGTATGCAAATGTATGCAACTTTTGAAATTTCAGATTGAAAGGCTCTTAAAATGAATGCCATTATATCACTGTGCCATTTTTGTGAATTACATGGTCCAAAAGTGTTGTTCTGTACACAGCCATTACATCTTGAAGAGAAATCTGGAGAAAGTGTTGTGGATGCGGGAGGGGAGGCGTCCGTGCAGTCAAGAAGAGTTGTCACCCCTTCTATATCAACAGAGCCACAGGCACCACTAACACCAACACATAACTCTCTACCTAACTATAAAAATGATTTATGTGAGGTAAATGTTATATATTTTTGTGTGTTCAAATTAAGGGCACCAAGTCATTTTAGCATTCTCCAGTAAAATTGTTTGTATTGCCCAAATTATGGACATGAATTTTTTTATAGCCCTCAAAACTCTTTCTCAACCCATTTTTACTTAGCTTAGTGTTTTAAACTGATTAAATTTGTAAGGTACAAGTAAGATATTCTGGTCATTACTTTTACATTCAAAAATATTGTACACTATAATGAATGAGCATCGAAACAAATATGTTTAAATGTGTAAACATGGGAGCTTTACTTCGAGGCAAGAGGACATAACTATGTCATGGATTTTGACAAAAGATTCCCCTTTTTAGACTTCCATCCCCCTTATTTCCTATACCTGTCGTGGTTTTGCTTGATTGTTAGTAACTATCATCCTGACTTCCAGACAAGAGTGCATATCTCTTTCTTGGATTTAGTAAAATAATGCCCCTTTTTCAACTTTCAAATTTTCAATTAAGTTTTTCGTACCACCCCACTTTATTTCATTTACTGGTTCAGGTATTACTTTTCAACTTTAAATTCTTGTTAGCCAATTACTTATAAAAATAATCAAGTAAGCTGTCTTACGGATAACTCTTGTTATTTTGGTGTTGTCTTTTTATACTATAATATACCTCTAAATGTTTAGGTATATGGATTAAAAAAGTCAGTCATCTGAATCCAAATCCTAGAAAGGAAAATTTATTTTTTTTAAATATGATCTATAGCAGGTCCTTAAAAAAAAATTCATTGTGATTATTTCTTAAAATGTGACTAGAAACATTTTTTGTATTTTAGCTGAAATAAACACAAAGCTCTAATGGATGTGCTATTGGGATCTATCAGTTGTCTGCATGCCATCCTTACCTGCGTTGTGAATACCGGGTACTGTAAATGTCACTGTCTTGATATGATTTTGTCAGAATGCCTCAATGAAATCTCGAATGACTTTGGATTAAAAAACTAGTTCACATGATCAAATCAAAGAAACCATGTCACCACTTTAAAGACTACATTTTTTATCAAAATCTTAATAAAACTTGATTGATGTGTCTGTCTTTTGGTGAAATTTAGGAAATATTATGAGGTATTCTTTTACAATAATTGCAATATCGTGATGGTCTGCTAAATCAAGATGCCTGCCGAAGCTTAAATTTTGAAAAAAAGTTAAAACAACATCTCATCTTGTTATTAGCATGATATGATTCATGTATTTGTTTTGTGTATTCAGGGATGTACATCAGTTCACCTAGGTTTTGTTAGTCATGATGAGGAGGCTGGTGTGAGTTATGTCAGCTCTCAGAGACCTACACACAGAGATGTATTCGCTATGATTCGACAAGCTTGTATTAGAAGCTTAAGTTGTGAGGTAGGCTGAACTAAATTTCTATCTATTTTTCCAAAAGTAATAAGAAAATGATAATTTGAGTAACAAATTGAATTCATAGGGTAATTCTTCATTATATATTTCTTACTCTTTTTTTTTAACAGCAATATGAATTTTTTTAGGATTGCTTTATATGAAGTTGAAATCTATTATAAATTTGCTTAAAATGTTTATTTCTACATTTAAGGTTTGAGTGAATTGCTTTAAATGTCAGATTGTAGCCTCTGGTTTTATATGTTTGGATATTTATCAATAGTTAGGAACTGATATGTATACATGTTGATTGATATATCATGGTCTCTGTGCAAAGTAATCACTTTCCATTGTATCAGTTACAATTGTCTGTATATAAAAACGTTAATATAAGATATATGTTGTGCAGGTTTGTCCAGGGAGAGAAGGTCCGATATTCTTTGGAGATATCCAGCAGGGTCATGCCATTAGTTATACATTCTTTATTAAAGATAATCAAGCACGAGGCTTCCAAAGACTTTACAGTATACTTGTTGTTATGATGGACAAAATATATCTGCTTAATTCATGGCCATTCTTAGTGACTCACATAGAAACTGTTGTAAAACACCTAAAGACTAAAGCAAATTCTGTGTTTGAAAATGAAAAAGTGAAGTTCCCTCAAAGGCAGCATAGACTAGCATCTAGTGTAACACCAAAGAATTTTATACAACAAAGGGGAGGTAATGTGAATAAGCCAGCAAGATCTCTTGTAGAGTTAACAGATGATAAGCATGTTTTTAAGATTTTACATACCTCATTTGTGTGGATATTGAAAGCTTGTGGGAATAGGTTATCAGAAACATTACTAGAGGGACCTCCTACTGAAGACACAATCATTGACATGGAGAAACTAGAAGGTTTGGTGAAGACTTTCTATCTTAAAATTATGAGAATGTTTTTCATTAAAGAATATCAAAGATTATTTCCTGAAATTGAGTAAAATCTTTAAAGTTAATTATGTAACTAATTTTATGTTGTAATATAGAAAACGTATAAGTAAACATTTTTAAATTCTCTTAATATTGGGAATTGATTGAATCATAAATGCATAGTCACTTACTGACTGAGAATGGAACCCTACAAATATTTTACATGATTTATGCAAATATTTTTTAATTTGTAACTTACATGTACATTGTAAGTAAACAAATAATGACAGATACTTGTCATTCCAAGATTAAATGAATAAGATTTTCTATGGTAACAGTTGATAAGACTAGACTAATGTGGTCACCAAGATTTCAGTTTACCACTATTAATAGTAATGACCACAGTTGAGGAGGGAAGGGGGGTGGCAACAGTCCATGAGGCAAATGTCCGGATACCGGTTAACGCATTTCTTTCATTTGGATTTATCTTAAATCTCTCCTCATAACTTCATTTATTTAATGATATCTTCCATGTTTGGTAGTTGGATACCTTTCAATGGTCCTCTTGACTTAAAGTCACTAGTGTATAAAATAAATTCATACATTTTAGCTCATACAGCCTTTTTTAAGCTCGACTTTTTTTGGAAGAAAAAAAAGTTATTGTTTATAGTTATGGTGACGTTCCCGTATCCGGACATGTTGCTGTTGCTTCGCGTGTTGCCGTTGCCGTCTAAAACCTTTAACATTGATCATAACTTCTTTATTTATGGTTGTATTGTCATTATACTTGGCCCTAACAACTATTGGGCCCTTACAACTGTTGGGACAAGACCTTCAAATGCACCAGACTAATCTTGACCTTTATTCATTAATGACCTTGACAGTCAAGGTCAAATGTCTGAATTTTTCTTGATTTTTGCTATCAGAAGCTAAAACTTAGTTATTTTTTAATGGATTGTCTTTAAACTTGAACACAACAATCTTTTAGGATAGACCTTCAAGGTTACTGTACAGATCATGATCTTCACCCATGAATGACTGACATTGAAGGTCAAATTATTGAAATTTTCTTTTTTTTGTTGCAACTGGCTATAACTTGTTTTTATTGAATAGATTGACTCCATATATAGATACAACATTCTTTAGGATATGACTTTTTTATGTATATCAAACTAATTTGGCCTTGAAGGTTAAATTATTGTATTTTCACTGACTTTTGCTATGATTGACTTCAACTTTGTAATAAATAATGGATTATCTTCATACTTGGACAAAATAACTTTTTTAGACAAAACTATCTAAAAGTTTGAACTGACCTTGACTTTGAGCTTCAAATGACCTTAAAGGTCAAAGTAAAATTATTGAATTTTGCTTAAATTGTCATAGTTTTGTTATGTCATTGACCATGATAATTTGACTAAGTGACCTACTTTCTTGTCCTTTGATGTACAGCTTGTATGAAATTTGGACCATATGCACAGTTTTGGATTTAAAATTGAACTTTAAAATCAGCTGACCTAGATTTTAACCAGGTGGCCTACTTTATTATCCTTGGATGTACAGCTATGAAATTTGGATCATGTGCACAGTTACAGATGTAAAATTAAACATTATGGAAATGATTCGTACTTGGACATAACAACAAGTGTGACTAGACCTACCTATTGAAATAAAATAAAAAGTGTGGGTGTGATTTATATAGGTTTATATGGTGAACTGCAAAAAAATATCCTAAAAAACCGACTGGTTAGAGCATAGATATTTTGCATAAGGTAATGTCTGGTGGACCTCTACCAAGATTGCTCAAATTAAAGTCCCGAGGTAAAAAAAACACCACTTATTTTAAAAGGCTACAGCTTAGATAAAAATCTTTGGTCCTCTTTTAAGGTTATTCAAATTAAAGCTTTTGGGTCAAAATTGGCCCTGTCCCAGGAGATCATGGGTAGGGGGCATTTGTGTTACTAATCATGTTCTAGTTTCTTTCTCTTTTGCAAAATACTATGTTATTTTTCCCAAATTTATGGAAAATGCATACCTTTTAAAAAAAAGTCTCAACCTTGATTTTCTTAGACAATTTAAACATTATATGGCAGCAGTAATTATATGTCTCATCTGAAGTATCACATAAAGATTTCAAAATCTTTTGAAAATCTCATTTTGTTCTTTTAAGAAACTGAAGAAGGGTTTGTAAAACTGTTCAGTAAGAAATTAGGATGTGATGATGATGTTGAGGAAGGAGAGGAAGTGCTATCATCACCAACAAGAGACAACAAGTCTCTACAGGAAGTACCTGAGGATGATGGGAGTCCAACCATACAAAATATCCGCCATCTTTACAAGGTTATCTAAATTGATGTTTGATTCAATAATAATATTATATTAGGGAAACATATAATTATAGTAACAAATGGAACCTTGTACTTAGAAATAAAATATATACATGTATATATTTCAAAGTCTTTGATGATGAAGTGCATGTTTATGATATAGATATTCAATTTAAACAAGTCATGGTGTTTAAGAATAATATAATTTCTGTCTTGATTCTTTGATTCTTTTAAAATAACCAAAATTGCTAGAACTTAGATATTAGCATGAAACATCTTATAGTGGGTGTCTACCAAGTTTGATCAAATAAAAGCCGTGTGGTGAAAATTGCCCCCTCATCAATTTTTAGCTCACCTGTTACAAAGTGACCTGGTGAGTTTTTGTGATCGCTTATCGTCCTGCGCCTGTCCTGAACTCTGGTAACCGAAAGAAAAAAACTTAAAATATCTTCTTTTAGAAAATTGAAAGAGCTAGTGCTTAAATATGTGGCATGAAACATCATCTAGTAAGTGTCTACCAATTTTGTTCAAATAAATGCCCTTGGGTCAAAATTGGCCCCACCCCTGGGGGGGTGGGGGAGTCATTGATTTTCCTTATTTGTTTATAGTAAAAACTTAAAAAATCTTCTTTTAAAAAAAAACCCCAAATAGCTAGAACTTAGCTTTTAAACATGAAACATCTTCTAGTGGGTGTCTACCAAGTTTGTTCAAATCAAAGCCCTGGGGTCAAAATTGGCCCTGCCCCAGGGGGTCATTGTTTTTCCCTTTATGTATATTGTAATATGAATACCCCCCCCCCCCCTTTTGTTTACCGTTATAGAACTCTTTCTTACACATGTAACACATCATTATAAATTACAAATGCTTTAAACACTTAAAACCATAACATTGATAAGTTTTACTGGGTATGTGATACTCAGGGTATGCAGAGAAAGCTGTTTTTAAAACACCGGCAAAATTTGACAGATCGTGAAAACTAATGACATTTCGTATTATCATATTTATAATTAACGGATATGATGCAATAAATGCATGTATACAAACTATACATTTCAGTGACAATATACCTTTTACAAATAGTTGATGACATGCATGGTGACTCTTTATTTCTATCAGGAAATGCAAACTTAATTTACTTTCATTTTGTGTCAATTGTGACGTCACAGTGCATGCTTGGTTTTGACTAAATTCTTAATCAATTCCGGAACAGAATGTTTGGGTTAAAAAGTACTAAATTAGGTAAATAATATTGGTTACTTAGACAACCAGATATGGGGATTTTATTGGAAATCGTCGTGGCCTGTTCGGATCTATTTCTTTTAGATGTAGGAGTCGAACGGCTAGCCATTGGTCGATATGGAGGGCTTTGGCGCCAAAATGGACGTTCCGCAATCTGAGTGGATGAGAGCGTTAGCTGTGCTTAGGTGCCCAATAATATACAAGTTCCTAACGCGGGGAATTTCAATATATTGCCGGTACGGTGTTATCCTTCAGCTTACTGGATTCGGTCACTGGAGAGATCATTTAAGTCTAATCATTTTACTTAGTTTCTTTTTACTTGGTTAAATAATAGGAATCCTCAGTTAAACATTATAGACATACGACAAGTTGATACTAGGCATCTACACTGAATACAACTTACAAGAGCTGAACTTTATTTCATCACCTAGTAGATTCTATTTTCTGAATTGGAGTTCATGATGGAACGAATGTAACTAACTTTTACTAACATTTACTAACGTTTACTTTTACTAACAATAACTAATACTCATCATTTTATTGATAATTTATTTATAGATTCTATTTCATCTTACTACACATCCTTGGATTACTTAATAAAATAAATCATTTTTGTTCTTTAAATTAGCTCTTTGTAGTTTATCTGAAATATTCTATCAAGGCACCCACAGGTCGGAGTTTTCCCCTCTAGGCTCGAACAACGGCTATCTTTCCTTCCCCCGAAAACATTACACTGGTGTCAGAGAAGTGGGATTTTGATATATTTTTTTCCAAAAAAAATTACCGGGAAAAAAAAAACACCCCAATTTTTTTTTTTGGGGAACGGTAAAAAGGGAAAAAAAAAAGGGGGGACAAAATTTAAATTTTTTGGACTGGGGAGGATTAGAGAAGATAACTTTGGAGTAAAAGGTTCTAGACCCGTTCGACGTCGCACACCTGTTTGGATCCACACACCCGTTCTGTTCGGATCCGCGCACCTGTTCGACGCCGTACACCCGTTCGATTCCGTGCACCTGTTCGGATCCGTGGACCTGTTCGACGCCGTGCACACGTTCGGATCCGCGCACCTGTTCGACGCCGTACACCCGTTCGATTCCGTGCACCTGTTCGGATCCGTAGACCTGTTCGACGCCGTACACCCGTTCGATTCCGTACACCTGTTCGGATCCGTGGACCTGTTCGACGCCGTACACCCGTTCGATTCCGCACACCTGTTCGGATCCGAATTTAGCATATCTTACATAATACAAGATACTTAAAAAAAAAACTTTGTGTTTTCTTTTATTATTTCTTCATATCTTTATTTACCAGAAGCTCAAATAATTATTTTAAGTATGGCAGATCAACATGATTCGGATTCTGAAGTCAATTTCAATATGAATCATCCAGGTGGGAATGATGAGTCTGGAGATATGGGTGATGAAAGAGACCATGCCTACATTCCCAGGGAACATTATGTACGACGCCATGCACCAAATATAAAGCCTGATCCTTATACTGGGGAAGAAGAGTGGGATTTATACCAGGCCTACTTTGAGGACTGTGCAGAACTTGCAGAATGGTCGGACAAAGAGAAGCTTCTTTACCTAGCAACAGCACTTAAGGGACAGGCCAGGCTTCATTATAGCTCATTAGCACATCAAGAAAAAAGGTCATACCAAGTTCTTACTAATCATCTGGAACAAAGATTTGGTAGCAAAAGACAGGCTAACCGATGGCTATCCAGAATTCAGACACGTACTAGACAAAAGAATGAAACAGTTGCCGAGTTTGGAGATGAGATTAGGCTGTATGCTCAAAAAGCATATGTGTCACTTGACCCAGTGGCCCAAGAGATGCTAGCACTGGAACATTTCTACAAGAGCTTTTCACCGGAAATGAGGTGTCGACTGATGGATAAAAGTTGTAGAACAATCAGGGAAGCAGTAGAAATAGTCGAACGATACGAGGATGTTCTAGGGAGAGCAACCACCTCTGCAGGACTGATAAGAGGTGTAGTCTCAGAAAAATTTAGAGATGTCAAACCTGCAGACTTAAAAGAAGACACAGAACTTAAGACTATAAAAGGAGCTATACAGAGGATAGAGGCACGCCTGGATAAACTTGAGACAACTGATAGGAAGCCTATAAATGACAGATCGTGCTTTACATGTGGGGCCAGGGATCATTTTTGGAGACAATGTCCACAAAAGAATAGGTTACAAAACAAACCCCACCTAAGGAACCAGGAAAACTTCAAGCCGTCATCTCGTTAGGTCGTGAGATGACGAAGGTTGAGATGGAGGGAAATCGACCTAGTCATTGTGAAACAACATTCAAACAAAATAATATGCCATTTAGAATTGGCCAGGTAGGAGTTAAACAATTTTCTGAAGATAATGGACTATATATAGGGGGTAGCATGAACAACAATCATATAGACTTTCTGCTTGACAGTGGCGCTACTTCATCTTTAATATCTAAAGAAACATATGAGCAATGCGGAGGAGAAGGCACATATCCACTTGATAGAAGGAAAATTAATGTTCAATCAGTGAATGGAACAAATATCACAATACATGGCCAGATAGAGGTAGAAATAGGGTTTGGACCATTCAGAGTTAAAATGACTCTTATCGTATGTGACATATCATTGCCAGGCCTCTTGGGACAGGATTTTATAATGGGAAATATCAAACATTGGGACCTTGAAACGTTGGAGCTTGGTACTAGAAGTGGACATAAAATACAATGTAGGATGATGAAGGATGATAACAATAGAGTATGTAGAGTTACTGTTAAGAGTGACATACAAGTGCCATCAAACACATGCATGTTAGTGCCAGTGAGAATATTGAGACACCAAATGCTTCCTGAAGTTGCGTTTATAAGTGAGACAAAAGGTGAACAAATAGATGAAGTAAAGATAATCAACGGTTTATTAGATCCCCATCGAATTGAGGCATTTATAGGAGTTATGAATGAGAGTGAGGCTGTGTATACTTTGAAAAGTGGTCAAGAAATAGGTCAGTGTTATCCTACACAGGAAGTATCAGGAGACATGGATTATGGAAATGACAAAACTCATACATGTGCTGCAATAATGTACAGCGGCAGTAAAGATCAAGGAAAAGCCAAGCAAGATATATTACCGGATCACATAAAGTCAATGTTTGACAAAGGGAAAGAACATTTGGAGGAAAGTGACAAGGAAAAATTTGCGACATTGCTCTACAAATATCAAGACGTCTTTTCGAAAGGTTCTGATGACCTTGGATGTACTAATATGGTAAAACATAAGATCAACACAGGAAGTTCCCCACCCATACGACAATCAGTTAGAAGACAACCTTATGGAAAACGTGATACTGAAACTGAGGAAGTAAACAAAATGCTTGACAGAGGAATAATCGAGCCTTCGAACAGCCCTTGGTCCTCGCCAATTGTACTTGTGTCGAAAAAGGACGGCTCAACTAGATTCTGCATTGATTACCGAAAACTAAATGAAGTGACTGTTCAAGATGCATATCCAATACCAAGGGTAGATGATTGTCTTGATTCTCTTTCTGGTTCCAAATGGTTCAACACCATGGACCTTTGTAGTGGTTTCTGGCAAATAGAAATGGAAGAAGAAGACAAAATGAAGACAGCATTTTCTACAAGTAGCCAAGGTTTATTTCATTTTCGTGTCATGCCATTTGGTCTTGTTAATTCACCGTCGACTTTCCAAAGGCTAATGGAAACAGTTTTAAGAGGAATTCAGTGGGTTGAATCTCTTCTATACATGGATGATAT